CCTTGGTTGCGGGCATATCCCCAGTAGGAGGTGTGCAAGAGGCAGCTGATCGATGACTCTCTCTCATCGATGTTTCTAACTCTCTATCTCTCTCCCTTCCTCTCTGTCCAAAATCAATAAAATATATTTAAAAAAAAAATGTAACCATGATATTATTTTCACACCTAAAAGAAAGTGAAATTCTTTAATATCATCAAATAGCCAATCTACCCAAATCTAAGAAAGTCAAATGTCAAGGAAAAACTTTACTTCAAAAGACCTAATACCCAAAAATGAGCAAGTTATTCCCCTTCAAGAAAAAGGAAACAGCATTTTCTTTTAGCAGAGAGCTGGACATCAGGGGCTGTAGGGGGGAATCCAAGAATGGTATATACAATTTTCATATGCATATGAATTTTTTTTCTTGGTTAATAGCGTTCATCAGCATATCAAACAGCTTGAGACTGAAAACATTTAAAGAACTTCTGCCTTTGGTTATGATTGTGTGATTATGCCAAGCACTTCACTGTTCCTGTAAGAATTAAGTCATGAAGGGAAACAAATCCATCTAAAAGTACTGTGAGATCAAACTGAATTCAACTCAGCACTTACTGAGCTTACAGAAGATGCAAGACAATGGGCTTCATTCTTGATAAACACAGGTTAAGTGAGTTCTAGTGAATTCAGAGTCTAGAAGAGGGGATCCAACAGATGAATGTAGCTACAATAGAATGCCATGGGAAAGGTGCCTGCTGTAGATATATTCATGGGGATCCAAATGGAAAAGCAATGTTACTTGTAGGGGGTAATGGGGGTTATAACATAGAAGAGAGTTGAATGGATGTCAAGAACTGCACCATCAACTCCTGTCTGAAGATCTTCCTCATGCCCCTAGCTGAGAGACATGAATAAATGTGTTCTGTACCCCCCCTCACTGGGTAGGATGGGAGAGGTGATTATGAAACTGGGGAGAAGAGGTTACATGTAAGTGTAGTATTTAGAAATTGAACAATTCTTTAGATCTGGAGAGGAGAGGCTCTGTGAAGAGGGAAGGGAAGTCATTCCAGGAAGAGAAAAGCAGGAACAAATGAGTGGAAATTACTGGCATGTTAGGGAACCAGCAGTGTGGTGACCTTCCAGCAGAGTGTGTGGGTGGGGCTGGCTGACTGGAAATGCCTGGTGGGACCAGAAGTTGGAGTCTTCCAGGCCAGTACTGAGCCTATATTCTGTGCCCAGAGAAAAGCCAGCAACACGTTTTAACTGAACTAGCTCTATCTTTACAGAGTATGTCTCACTCTTAGGCAGATGGATGCCCAAAGTTTATTGCACTGGTGGTGCCTTGAATTAGCTGGATGGGGAGAGGTGAGAGAGAAGCAGGCTATTCAGGAGTCAATTGCAGTAAATCAGGAGAGGTCCAGAGTGACAGTTGTAGAAAAAAGATGAAGGGACATTTCAGAAATTTTAGAAACCATTATTTTAAAAAAGTGAAAATAGGAACAGATGCAAGACCAAATAGAATTCATAAAAATTCTATTACATAGTGTAGAACAGTGTTAGTATGGTCCCATTTCTGGAAAGAAAAAAAGCATAAACATAAAATATCACAGAAAGTATATGAAAGAAATAGGTACCGCTGGTTGTAGGGCATGGAAAAAGGATTGGGAGAGGTGAGAGAGAGACTTTTGTCTTTTTAGTAGACTGAAACACATGATTATCTATTGGCTAGTTGAAAGAATATATAATTTAGCCCCAGCTGGTTTGGCTTGGTGGATAGAGCATTGGCCTGTGGACTAATGGGTCCCAGGTTCAATTCTGGTCAAGAGTGCATGCGGGGGTTGAGGGATCGATCTCTCCCAATAGGGGGCGTGCAAGAGGTAGCCAATCAGTGATTCTCTCATTATTGATGTTTCTTCTATCCCTCTCCCTTCCTCTCTGAAATCAATAAATATATATTATATAAAAAAAGAATACATAATTTTTTCTTATTGTCAACCACATATAGGCAGATAATTGGAAAAAGAGAAAAGGTTTTAGAGACAAGATAGATGTTCCATTCTAGCTCTAACTCTTCCTAACTGTGGGGCTTATGGACAAACTAATTTTAGTTTCTGTCCTCTTATTTGCAGAAATAGAGATAATACTGGCTAATTTCTGGGTCACCATAACAATAATTAAAAGAATCTTACACAAAGCACCTGGTACAATACCTGGCATAGACTAAATACTCAATAAGTAGTAGCTATTTTATTATCAACAAAATTTCCTTGATGTGAGTCTGTTCTTAGTATAATAAAAGTTCCTCGATCTAGTTTAAGGTGTGCTCATTAGCTAATCTCATTCCTACATTAAAAATTTACATTGTACAAAACGACTAATGTAATCCATCTGATGAGCACTATCCATTACATATCTGTTTCTAGAAATTTAAACTTAACATTATTTATCTGCATGTCTACGTAGAGGTTAGTTTTGGTCTTTAAATGCTATTGACTCTATATTTACCGAAGTCATGGATGCACAGAGGACTACTAACTACAAACCAGATGCCACAAGGCACCAAGAAAAGAATAGTAAGTTGCTACCCTCTAAGAACTGACAACCTCAGTGAGACAAACAGGTGTGACCTTCAAGTAACCATGTCCCAGATCTGGCAGAAGAGATGGAAATACTGGCAATGAAGCACCCAATTCTGGCCATGCATTTGCTGTAAGATGTCAAGTCACATGTTAGGAGGAGTGCATTCTGCAAACATCTTCGTAGGTGGGTTTCTTCTGCATGATCCTATGGTTAAAATCTATTGAGACTGTGGCAGTAACAGCATCCTAAGTGTTGCAAAATAGTGGTCACTCTCAAACATCTCACTACACATTGTTTGAACAGTCACATCATTATTGAAGTATCATCACACAAAAGTTCCTTTGTTATATATTGAGATGAATAATTGCAAACCATTTTCATGTGAGATGTTCTGACTCAGATTTGCCCTAGCCTATAAAATGAAGAAGCTTTTGAAAAGAAAAATAGCTGGGGTTTAAGAAATATTTTTGTCAAAGGCAGGAAATAATGATAAACATCTTCCGGGGATTTCGGAAGTGTTGGTGAATGCTTCAAAAAAAATAAAATAAAATAAAAGGAAGGCGTAAGGCCAGAGGAAAATGCATTTCACTTCATATACAGCACTGTGGGGAGAAAGAATGGTGGGATGTATAACAAAAGCCATTCAGATAATCATTCAAATATTTCCTCTTTGAAGCAGATGGGTCTTGACAGAAACATCAACACCAGACTGTAGAGAAACAACGGCCTAACATACACTCCTTTCTAAAGCTTTTATCGATGCTGTGAATGTCATGCATGTACGTGCGCCTTGGAAGGATGACTGACTTCACAGGAGCCAGCAGGCAGGTCTTGCTTTTCTGAGCCACCACAAGGTCCACACTTGCATTTACCCTCTGGCCTAGCTAGCTACCCCTATGCGCCCACCTCCAGGCTACCTAGGACCGTGGAAGACTGGATTACGAAGCTGATCTAAAGCTATACACACATAGGCAGCGACGCCAGTGTAACACCCGCCCTCCTCCTTCCCCCTCCCTAACGCCACAAATCTCAAGATCGGAGTTACAAAGAGGCTGGGAACTCCAGCAGAGCGGCGAGGCCCTCTCTCCCCATCGAAGCATGGGTGCCCGTGCAAATTGCTTCCAAACGCCCTTGGCAGCAGGCATCGAGGGGCGAGCCGGACCCGGCTTTCTTCAGCAGCTCCCACCGAGGCCAGGGGAGAGGACACGCGGCGTGCATGTGTGTGTAGGGCGATGTGTGTGTGTATGGCGATGTGTGGGTGTGTATGTGTGTGTGTGCGGCTTGCCCAAAGACAACCACCTTCTCCCCTCCACCCCTGCACCCCGCCCCTCGCTCCCAGCCGCAGCCCCGGCCTCCGGAATCCGCATCTGGCGGCACCACGCACCAGACAGACGATGCGCACCCGCCACTTGCACCGCGTGGCGGGCCCCCACCCACTCGCGGCCCCCGGGTCTCCCCCGAGCGAGCGAGCCAGCGAGCGGCGGGTCTTCCCTCCGAGGCACCCAATACCCGGGAAGCGAGCTGAATGGGGTGGAGGGGATGCTTCCCCACCGAGCGGCAGGAAGCCGCCCCAGCAGGCACATGCTTCCTCCGCGCCAGCTCCTCCCGGCCCGAGGGGAGGCCTCCCGGGAGGATGGGGGGCGACGGCCGCGCTTCCCGCAGCCTCTCCGGCTCCCCTTGCCCCGCCCGGGTTGCTGCCCACCTGTCCAAGAAGGCAGCGGCGACGCGCGAGGCTGGGAGCTGCGGTGAGTCCGGCGGCGGCGGCGGCGGCGGCGGCGGCAGCAGCACTAGCGGCGGCGGCAGCAGCACTGGCGGCGGCAGACAATGGAGGAGTGAAGGACGGACACATTGACATGGACACACAGAGCCCGGCAGAGCCCCGCCTCCCGCCCCGCCCCGCCTCCCAGCCCGCCCCTGGCTGGGGCCGTACCAACTTCTCAGGTGATGGAGGGAGGGTAGCGAGAGCCAGACACCTCTGAACGCCCCATGCAGCCGCTGCCGGACACACAACGTACGGATGGATAATTGTAATATTGCGTGTTCCTAAAGACAGGAAGCAGACCGGTTGGAGGGCGGGAAACGTGTGAGAAGACTTTAACTCCCCCCCTCTGTTTTTTTGCCATTTGGTTTCGTCTTCTCGAGATTCTCCAATGGGATTCTTCGGCTGCCGCCTCAGGTAGCTCCTCCCACTGGCTGGGCCAATAACACGCGCGGGGGGGACGGGCGGTGCCAGCGGAACCGCCTCCCCCCCTCCCCCTCCCCCCGGCTCGCCCGAGCTCGCCGGCTGCTCGCCCGCCCTCGGGAGAGGGGAGAGGATTCGAACGCTCCCCGGCGGGTGTCCCGGTCTCGCGCTGCCCCTCTGCGGCCGGCGCCCCTCGCGCAGACACCGCGCTTCCTCCCGACACCTGCGGAGACGCCTCACAGCCTCCAAGCTGGCGGGAGCCATGGTTCACATAAAGAGAGGCGAGCTGACCCCGGAGGAGAAGGCGCTGCTGGAAGTCATCGGGAAAGGTGCGGGCGCTGGGCTGAGACCAAGGCGCTGCCTGCCCGGCCCGGCCCGGCCCGGCCCGGCCCGCGGGCGTGGCGGAGCCCAGGTCCCGCGGACCCCGGTTCCGTGAGGACCGGGAAGCGGCGTGTCTCCCTGGGAAGCGTGGCGGGTTGTGGGCGCGGGGAGGCGGGGCGGACGGCGGCGGCGGCGGCGGAGGTGCGTGCCCTCCGTCGGCTCCGGGGAAGGTGCACACGCCGCCCCGGGTGCTCATCCTCCGACTCCCCCAAAGGGCTGGTGGCCGCGGCCCGTCCTGCTCCCCCCGTCCCCCCTCCCCGGGGCAGGTTCTCAGGCTGCAGCCCAGAGGGCCCTTCCGACTTCCGGAGGCCGAGGGACCCGGGTTCCCTGGCGGTGGAGGGCGGAGGGCGCTCCTGAGGAGACGGGGTCTGCATCCGGGCTCGGAACTAGTTGTGCAAGTTGCCCCCTTGGGGGCGTCGGCGTGGGACCCCTCCGGGGAGCGGGCAGGGGTGCGGCCCGGCGGCCCCGCCTCCGAGCGCACTCCGCGCGCCGCGGCCTTCCAGTCGCCCTTCCGCGCCTTCCCTTCCACTCCCGCGCCCTGCGTCCCGCGGCCGCCGCCCGGCGCCGGGGGAGGGAGGCGCAGCCCCGGAGCGGGCGGGAAGCCATGCCTTCCCCGTCATCCCCCCCAGCGATGTCCCAGAGGAGCTCCCTACTGAGTCCCGTTACCTGGCAGGTGCCAGCGGCGTGACTGTGGTGTGGCCGCCGCGCGGGGACGGGGCGCATGGGGTTCTGAGCTCCAGGAGGAGCGAGCCGCCGTGTCCCCTGGCAGAGCGGCCAGCCATTGAAGCACTAAAGGCTTCCCAGGTAGCTGAAACCGGTTTGGCTCAGTGGCTAGAGCCTCGGCCTGTGGACCGAAAGGTCCCGGGTTCGATTCCGGTCAAGGGCATGAGGTACCTTGGTTGCGGGCACATCCCCAGTAGGAGGTGTGCAAGAGGCAGCTGATCGATGTTTGTCTCTCAATCGATGTTTCTAACTCTCTATCCCTCTCTCTTCCTCTCTGTAAACTATATTTTAAAAAATTAAAAAAAAAAAAAAAGACTTCCCAGGTTTCATTCTTCTTTCCGAATAGCCAGGTTCTAATCTGGTTCCCCAGAGAGTAGGGCAGATTATTCCTCCTACTAACAAAAAACAAACAAAAACAAAACAAAACAAAAATATGCCGAGAGAGAGAGAGAGAGAGAGAGAGAGAGAGAGAGAGAGAGAGAGAGAGAGAGAGAGAGAGAGATCGGATTTGAACTTAACAGGTGCCGGGGAGATGAGCCCACCCAGTTCAATGTCACGTTTAAGTCGGTCACAGCTGTATGTATAGTAAGTGTTCTTTTGCCCGGGACTGTGGGACGTGGAGCCGGAGTTTGGGTTTGGGTTCCGCAGGATCTCGCTGACCTATTTGGCACTGCAGCCTTTCTGCGCTGCCTGTCCCCCGGGTCCTTTCTCCCCGCCTTTGTGTTCTGGGACTCAGTTCAGCAAACATGTGAGTCCCAGCTGTGTGCCAGGCCCAGTGCTGGCATGGAGGAGAGAAAGGATCCACTCACGGTCCATCAGGGATGCAAATTTTGTTTTTAAACAACCTGGAGCTATCATTTCTCTTAAAGTCTAAACAACTGAGCAGTTTTATAAAGCCGGTCTCGGAAAGGGGCCAGTAGGGGTGGTGGTGGGGATCCTTGGATATATTCTTAGGTGTCCACAAGTTTTTATTTTAAAGATTAATTAAAAGAGAATAAATGTGACTGTAATGGGGTGAGTACTGTGCTATTTGCGAACGTGCCTCCAGTTTCACCAGTGCACAGACGCTATGTTTCACAGGTTCTATTGGCCCCAGCAGCTGAGAAAAGAACAGAGATGGATTTAGTATGTGATGCATTCATTTTTTATTTAATATATTTTATTGATTTTATACAGAGAGGAAGGGAGAGAGATTCGATGAGAGAGAAACATCGATCAGTTGCCTCTGTACACCCCCTACCGTGGATATGCCCACAACCGAGGTACATGCCCTTGACCGGAATCAAACCCGGGACCCTTCAGTCCCCAGGCTGATGCTCTATCCACTGCGCCAAACCGGTTTTGGCAATGAGATGCTTTCTTAATGGGGACTGTAAGAAAATAACACCGATTGAATGTTAGTATGAGTAAGACATAATTATTAACACTTCACATGTATTAATGCATTCAGTCATCATGAGCTAGGAATTATTTCAAAACTACAAAATTATAATAGGCTGCATGGGAAGGTGGTTAACTATGAATCTTACCTCAGTCATTGGCTGGTCATGTGGCCTCAGGCAAGTTACTGATTTTGAGCTTCAGGTTCTCCAACCTGTGAAAAATGGTACTCAAAGATAAAATGAGTTAGTATATGTTAAGCAGTTAAAATACTATTTGTGTTGGGAGTTATTATGGTAATATGATAATCTGCACTTTCTAGACAAGGAAACCAGGAACTGAGAAATTAGGTAACTTGCCCCTTGTCAAATAGGTAATAAGTGGCCAAACAAATATCATATGGCCCTTAGTCCTAGAAATATGTTGGACCTGAAAACAAACTAAATAGAAAATGAAACCAGCACCATAGCAAACCATACCACTTTCATTTTGAGAGACAATTTAAAAAAATATATTTTATTGATTTTTTTACAGAAAGGAAGGGAGAAAGATAGAGAGCTAGAAACGTCGATGAGAGAGAAACATCGGCCAGTTGCCTCTTGCACACCCCCTACCGGGGACGTGCCCGCAACCAAGGTATATGCCCTTGATGGGAATCGAAACCGGGACCTTTCAGTCCTCAGACTGACGCTCTACCACTGAGCCAAACCGGCTTCGGCTTGAGAGACAATTTAACTTAAGCAAAATACTATCTGTCAAGTTAATTTTAAATGTTACTGATTTTATAGTTTTAAGTGCATTTAATTTATAAAATTAATTTTTGATTTACAGTTGAATAAAGATCATAAATAAAATTTATATTTGTACTCCTTAAAAGCATTTTTAAAGGAGGTAGGTGTTTTTTTAATTTTTTCCCCCTCTACTACATTTCTCAACTTTGAGAAACACTAGATTAGTCAGTACTAGCACTTGGAACTAACAATACATTTTTAGCCAAGTGTGACCTAACATCTTGGTCATTGTGAAATAAACTCCACAAATTTTTGAGTGTCTTCCTTCTGTCAATCACTGCCTGCAGAAGTTAAGCAGACTGTACATGGTGGGACTTACAGTTGGATAATACCATGCGGAACCTCTGGACCTTTCAGAACAACTTTTTCTTCTGAATGAATTCACATGCTAGATGTATGCAGACTGTTACAATGCCTGGAAGATTCAGATGATGAGAAGCTGTTTCCTACAAACCCATTTAAATCATAGTTAGTGACAGCATCCGTTTTGCAACGTTTAAGAAAGTGAAAATCACCAAAGAGCACTGAACTGCTTATGACTTGTAGATTGACCCTTTCTTCTAACTTCTGATATTCTTTTCCTTAAGCACTGAAGAAGCGCTGTTTTTTCATTACTTGTGTAATAGTAGCTATAAAACAAGTTTGATAATAAGGTTTATTATACCAATTTTATTGAGGTATGATAAATGCTGCACATTTAAAGTGTTCACATTTTAAAATCAGTTTTTGACTTAAGTATACATCCATGAAACCATACTTCAGTCCAGATAATAAACAGTTCAATCACCCCACAAGGTTCTTTAAGCCTTTTCCTGATTTCACTTCCTGTATCACTATCTCCAGGCAAACACTGATAGGTTTCTGTCTCTACTCATTAAGTTTTTTTATTCTAGAATTTTATATACGTGGAACTATACAGTAAATTATTCCCTTTTTCCCCTCCATGACTTCTTTCATTTAACATCATGATTTTGATGTTATCTATGCTGTACCAATAGTCTCTTACTTTCTTCTTTTATTTTCATTGTATGGATATACCGCTATTTGCTTATCCATTCACTTTAGTGGACATTTCAATTCCCAGTTTTGGACTATTAAAGGGAGATCCTGCTCAAAGTTCCTGTGTAGTGAATAATATTATTTCTAGTATCTTTAATAGAAAGATTCAGGTCTTCTAATAATTATAGTATAGAGTTCAAAGAAAACATTAACAAATACATAGTTACCATTAACTCAGTGACTGAAGACGTTATGAAACCTCTGTGGGCTTTATTGTCTTCAATTACAAAAACAATAGCTCTTTAATTATTTTGATTTTTAAGCAATGATTCATAATCTCAATTTAAGGCCATTTTGTTACAAAATCTAAAAATAGATTCTAGTATGAGAACTTTTAGAAAAGGCACACTTAAATAAATTTACTGTTTCAAAAATATATGTTATAATTAGAAGTCTCTACTTTTTAAATACATGTATAGATAATATATCTATAATTAAATTTAAATGCATGTATTATTTTTAAAATTTAGACACTTTAAATATTTTATACATTATTTTACTTATATAAACACATTATAGCAACTAACAAGACAAGTAGTATTTTAAATACATAACTTGAATCGTAGATACCTTAAAACATCCCTTTTGGGGATTCCACTAAATGACTGAATACCATACATACCCAAATCTCATGGTTATCTGATGGATTGCTGGAAACAGAAATGTCCAAAGTTTGTTTTTGTTTCTCCCTTTTTTTTTTTTTTTTTACTACATATGCTTACCTTCAGTAAGAGATCAATGCTTCCAATCTAGCTATTAGAAATGTTGCAGTGAATTATATTGTGCTGCTCTGCATATAAAATAACAAGAGCATCTAGATCAAGCATGTCAAACTCAAAGGCTAACATGGTCCAAATAATTGAGGCATGTGAGCCGTGGGCCGTGATTTTGATATGCTTGATCTACATGATATGCTCTGAGAATGTATCTGGGCCAGTCATTAGGACAAAACCTTAATCCCCCTCTGAACCCTATGGGATGCTACTATCTACTTCACAGATGAGGAAACTGAGGGCTTCACAAGACTTGTTCAATGTCACAGTATTCCTGTGATGTGGTAGAAAGGAGGGCAATAACAGCGAAAACATTTCTATTAGCTCCATCTCTTCTCTGCTAAAATGCTGGTCTATCCAGATAAGTTGATCAGGCTCGCCCTAATGAGGCAGGTTGGGCTGTGTTTTCTTCTTTGGTTGAGCAACTTGGAAAATTTCTCACAAGGAAAACAAATCATTAAATATTACTTTCATCAATTATAAGTCTGTTAATTTTTGTCTCCATTGAAGATAATTGTTGGCTCATTTCATATCTCCCTTATAGTAATGTATCTCTCCATCTTAAAAGTTTATTAAATCAGATTTAATATATTTCTTTCCCAGAGTAAAGCAATTAATCTTTTAAACTTAATTGCAAAATACTGTTTGAGAATCTACTGTGGAATAAAAAAGGAAAAATCATTCTGCCTGAGCCCCGTGTTTCACTTTTTTTTCTGTGCTATTCTAGATCATCACTAGTTTCCTACTAATGCCATTAAATTAGGAACACCAAATTAGAAATCATCATGTTTTTCCTCTTTGAATATTTTTCACATCTATTTTCCAAGATATGTTTTTCTCTATACTGGAGGCCGGATGCACGAAATTCGTGCAAGGGGCTTAGTATTGACTTATTTTTAATTGCTCCCTAAACAGGACAGATTTAACTTAGATTGTTGGCCATTGGGCTAAACAGTTTATGAAACCATTGGTCTGTTCTTTAATGTGAGCCAAATGTTTACCACTTAATCCTCCCCTACTATGTTCAGGCCTTGACATGCTCACAGTCCCAATAGTATTCTTCATTTACTGTAGAATCATCTCCTGATCAGACGGAAAATAACCTGTTATTCCTTGGAGGCCAGTGGGATTTAGCTGGAGCATCTTCCTCAAGGAACATTGGGGTGTGGGAGTTTTTGTTGTTTTAATTCCACTCTATAGATATTTGTGAGAAAGTCTCTGATAGGAAGTCCCATGGATGGGTGAGGTTCCATGTGCTTACATGCTGGAAGGTTTTCCCCTCTCATTTTGTAGCACTGCATATGGAGTATGGCGTCAGACAGCGTACTATTGACAAAATAGTACAATCCAGGGACTTGGGGATGATTCACTTGACAGTTCGCCAGCAGATCTGTTTCTCTCGTCAGCCCAGGAGACAGTTCCCCATCTATTCCAAGTTGGTGAACAGCAACCAGATGACTTGCCTTAGAAACAGGCCAGGGAGAGAGAGGCATGCTTTCTTTATTCTGCAGTCCATCTTTAACTGGGAGACTAGCATAATTTAGCACATTCTTGAACTGTAATTGTAATTCTGAAGCTAAAGAGAAAAAATAACTCCTGGTGGGTGCTGCTCCTATTTTATGTCCTTTTGGAAGAGAGGCTTATCTCATCCTTTCTCCCTGAGAACATTCGGTTTCATTGTTCTCTCTTCCCAGTCAAACCAGAATTGTTTTGGCAGAATATGTGGCTGACTTTCATTTATGATGATGATAATAGCAACATTCCTGCAGCTACTTGCTTCTATCAGTATGCCTCACAGAAGACTGGAAAAACCTGACAGTTGTGGCCCAATTACAGCTGCTTTTCAAATGTATAGAGGACTGACCTTCAGGATTACATCAGAGGACTTTCAGTATGAGGGCACTTTTATATAGTACGAGGCTTTAAAGATACGTTTACCTAAGCCTTTCCAAACCAAGAGTTCTATTATAAGCATGCCATCCCATCAGTTTGCAGGGCCTATCGTGACAAAGTACATCAATAGTGATTATATGTTGAACTCCAATTATTACATTGACTGGTATTTAAATAATGGGTTGGACTAGATGCCCTGTAAGATTTGTTTCAGTATTAAGAATCTTATGCTTTGTGGTTATTGTATTACTGCCAAAAAGAAAATATGGCTGACTTAATGTACTCTAAGAGCAGTGGAAATAAAAACAAGATGGGGATATTTTAGTTTCTATAAGTCTTTTATTCTGTATAATTACTTTGTGGAATAAATAGTATATGATACGTTGTTTCCTAACAACCTAACCTGACTAATCTTAGTTTTACAGAGAAGCCTTTATTTCCTCAATGTTAAATTTTTTCTATTCTAGTGATAAATAACCTTTCACTTATTTATTTATTTATTTATTTATTTATTTATTTATTTATTTTATAGGTACTGTTCAAGAAGCTGGGACATTATTAGCCAGTAAGAATGTTCGTGTCAACTGTTTGGATGAGGTAAATTTTTTTAAAGTTTAATAAAGTGTTTTACTACCTATGAGAATGGACAATATAGAAAATCTAATAAGAGTTGTTTTTTCTAGAATTTGTTCTCAACTTATGCTTATATCTAAACCAAATGTAAGCAGACAATCCATAAAAGACAAAGTAGCAGGTAAAAACACGTTTAGTTGTATTAGTAATCAAATAAGTGTAAATTATATCATTTCTAGTGAAATGTGGGAAACAGTGAACTTTTATATGCTAATAAATCCCATATAATACAAGCCTAATATGCAAATCGACTGGTGAAACAGCTGGTCGGTGGGGGACAGGACCAGCTAGTGGGCGGCACCAGGCCAGCCAGGTTGGGAGCCAGCCGGCAGAGGGAGGGGATTGCAATCAGGGGCAGCACTGGAGGTGTGATGGGGTAGGGCACTGCCTGCTCACTGGCTGGCACTGTCCCCCCATCGCCCTGCCAGTCACCTCCCACAGAGGGAGGCCACAGGCGGTAGCAGGGTGATTGGGGTTGGGTGGGGCCAGCCATAATCACCCGCGGGTTGCCTCCCTTAAAGGGAAGTCAGACTGAAGCTGAGGGGAGCGGGCCTAAGCCATCAGTCGGACATCCCCCAAGGGCTCCTGGTCTGCGAGAGGGTGCAGGCTGGGCTGAGGGATCCTGAGTGCACACATTTTCATGTACTGAGCCTCTAGATATAAATTGGCATCACATTCTGGAGAAAATTTTAGAATTTGTGTGATTTTTAAATGTACATACCTTTGACTCAGCAACTCTACTTCTAGGGAAAGGTAACTAAACCTACACTGAGCTTTCTAGAACACTTGCTGTCCAAAACAACCCTGAGATGATGATAAGGTCTATTCTGAGCTGTCCAATCTCTGCCATTATCTGTGTGTGATTATTCTGTTCCACAGCATAGTTCTAGTGTGAGAAAGTTAACTTAGCGGTTTCTCACGCAGAAGAGAAGGGGTTTTGTTAACCCTTTATCCACACATGGCAAACAAAATAAAGTTTAAAGCAAAAAATACTTAATAGTATAAATACTACCAACCATTTCTCCAAATTCATACTATATATATATATATATATATATATATATATATATATATACACACACACACACACACACACATATGAACAAATCATGTACATGATCAAAATATAAATGTAGTTTGAGAGATGATTGTTTAAAAAATGATACCATTATAATGTACATTTCCTGCATCCGGTTTTTCTCACACTTTATTCAATTTTCCCTTGGTAGGCGTTCTATTTATTTTGAGTTTTTTCTCTTCTTATTTTTAATGCATTTGTATCTGCTTGTTCATTTGTTTCCCCAGGAACTAAGAATGTTTGCTAGAGATGAGAGCCCTGGGTTCTGGTCCCTGCCCTGGCTATTTGAGTAGTTAGGTGAAGATGAGCAAATCTTCTCTGAGTCTACTTGCTAATCCATAAAAAAAACAAAATAATAAAAATAATAAAGTAATAACACCATCTTTTTTCCTCAGCCGTTCATGAAAGATCCAAGTGTGGAAGTGAATGTAAAAGTACTTTATAGATTGTAAAGATGATTTTATTAATTCATGTTTGGTTTTAATTTAATTATAGGCATTGCGCATAGGTAACTTTAAGACAAGTAAAATTAATACATTTTTTCCTTTCTATTACAGAATGGAATGACTCCTTTAATGCATGCTGCATATAAAGGAAAACTTGACATGTGCAAATTACTTTTGCGACATGGAGCTGATGTAAATTGTCATCAACATGAACACGGATACACAGCCCTCATGTTTGCTGCACTTTCTGGTGAAGTTTTAGGACTTATTCTAATACTAGAGGTCTGGTGCACAAAATTCAGGCATGGGTACAGTCCCTAGGCCTGGCCTGTGATCAGGGCCATCTTACCCAGCTGCTGGCTGCTAGCTCTGCCCCCACCCACTCCCCGTTTGCTGTTCACCTTCGGGTGGTCAGAGCCTGCTGGCCAGGAGGAGGGACTGAGAGCTTGGCCATTCCCACCTGCTCGCCAGTCCTGTCCCCACTGTGGGTTGTGCCCTCTGTGTGTGGGGTGATTGATGGGGTGAGGAGGCTTGGCCTGGTGCGGCCCACATCCCCCGCCATCCACCCCCAGCTCCCTGTTTGCCATTGCATGATGGGAGCCCGCCAGCCCAGGAAAGGGACTGAGTGGTGGTCAGTATGCCTCATAATGATTAGTCAAGCAGTCATTCTGCCTTTAAGGTCAATTTGCATATTTCCCTTTTATTATATAGGATATTGTTAGTTGCCTACACAAATTTATTTTAAGTACATATATACTTACAAATGAAATGCATTTTTATTATAATAATTTTAAGGTCAATTCTAGTGGAAAATAATGGTGGGAATTGGTTTTTGAAAAATTATATCTGAAATGTTGTTTACTTTGGTGATTTCTTTTTAATTTAAATCAATCGATTCTTTGTATTGATAACATAGATAAAATACCGTGTGGGACAAGAGTAGATTTGCAGTTGTGAATACATGAAATAGAGTATTCTTGTATTGTTATTTGTTAGTTATTGTACTATTTTCCATATGAACAACTGTAAACCTACTCTTGCTCACCCCGTATACCCCGTATTTTGTGTAGAGTTGAGAAGCTGGATCAGTTATTTCTTTAAGTTGGTTCTTTTGATGTTGTCTGTCTTGTTCTCTTGAGAAAAGAGCTGCTCTGCTGGAGCTGTGTGTTTGTTTCACTGGCATTTATATACTAAATAGGGTGATCTATTTAGAAATTGACTCATGTTGCTTATGATTTGCTAAAGAAAGACAGTTGGGAAATATTACCTAAAATTAAGTGGAGTTAGGTGAAATTGTTGCCATTTTTTTAAGGAACTGAAGATGGACTATAATATTATACTTTAAAAGCAGTAATCTGTATCTTATAATTCTAGAATTGAAAAGCATTCCTAAGCATGGCTTAAAATATAGAATTCAAAAGGACAACCACTTTGATTACATATAATTTTAAATTTCTAGTTATATATAGTTAAAATACAAATGAAAAACTAAGGAAAATACTACTACACATCTTAAAGGGTCACATTATTATAATGTAAAAAGTTTTTATAAATCAATTAGAAATGGCAAATACTGCAGTAGAAAATGAAACAGAAAATTGAAAAGGATAAAGAAGTACAACTGGCTAACAAACATAGATTATTTCTCACCACACTGGAGAGGTTAAGGAAGAGGACAATGCCCAGCTTCGGCATAGGAACTTCTTTACACTGTTTTCGGGCATGCACATCAGCCCAGCCTTGCTGGAAGGCAGCCTGAAAAAACGCATTTAAAATATCTGTAACCTTTGTTCCCACAGTATTTTCCCAGGAACTGTTCCTAAGGAAATTTAGTTCAAACTGCAAAAATTAATGGGAAATGCTGTTCACTGAGTACAGTTTATAATACTTAAATATCTGTAATGATTCCATGAGTGATAGAATGAAAATAGAATAAATGGAAATGATGGTTTTCGAGAAAAAATTATAGAAAAATAGACCCCCAACTGTTAATAGTTGTCCCAGGGCCTGAAGGTGTGAAGGATGGGATTGGTTAGCAGATAGTAAGTAAAGACTTCTATTCATTTATGTTTTTACTTTGACTTTGTACTAAATATTATCATTAGAAAAAATAAATATATTTTGTTCAGTTAAAAAAAGGGATATTTCTACTCTATTTTTGTATTGTCTGATTTTTTTTTTTTCTAGAAAACAAGTTTAATTTCTAATGGGTTCTTCTAGCATTTTACTCTTTACTGTGGTTATGATTTATATTTTAGAAAAAGGTGAAAATATCCAAATAAATGAAAACCTAAAAGTTTGTAGCAAAAAAGGTTACAGATAATTTGATAGGGAGTATTTGAATTGCACATTCCTTAATATTAACAAATATGTTCCCTTTAAAAACCCTAGGTAATAAAGACATCACATGGGCAATCTTGGAAGCTGGTGCCGAGACAGATGTTGTCAACTCGGTAGGAAGGACAGCAGCTCAGATGGCAGCCTTTGTGGGTGAGTTATTATGGCAGTTTTACATAAGGATATACCCCAAATTTTCTCCATGGAAAGCATACTACTTTACTTCTTAGAGAACAAATACTGTCATGTTTATTTTTTAAAAAAATGTTTTTAACCAACTAGGTTTTGTCTAACTTAATGAAATACCCATGATACTTTGGAGAAAATGAACCAGCTCTGTTGAATGTCCACTTTGTAAGATACAAAGAATGGTGCCTGCTATTTTAGTTGTAGTCAAATCCTTTGAATATTTTATTTTTCTAGCAGTGTTTCCCAAACTTTTGACATGTGTACCCCTTCTATAATTTTCGTACTCATGAGAACGTAGAATTAGGCGTAGCTAAGCATGGTGCAGTGCATATCCCCACCAAACTCCGGTGCAACGCATACCCCCACCAAACTCTTCCCGTACCCCTGGGGGCACGCGTACCACATTTTGGGAAACACTGCAAGGAAGTAGTTCAATGTATAAGATCATGAACTGTGACAACAACAGTCTTCCATTTAAACTAGAACTGGCATGAAATTGTATGCGGTTAGAGTCCCTAGGCCATCTTCTGCCCACTTGCCAGTCCCTGCTGCCACCCCCTGGTTTGCTGTGGTTCCCTGATTGCAGCATGGCTCCAGTTCCCCAGAGCCTGTGGACCAAGAGATTGTCATTCCGCCTGCTTGCCAGCCTGCTGCTTCATTCCCGTGGTTCCCCATTCGCCATGCTGCAAAGGAAGATGTGCCGAGGGTCAGGGGGGAGGGGGGAGACCAAGAGGTGCTCAGTGCCCCTCATGATGACCAGTCGTTTGGTCATCGTGGTCTTCATGGACACTGGCTTTTTATATATATAGATTCTGCCTGTGTCACTCAAGAGCGTGTCACCTAATGATTCTAACCTTCAGTTTCCTCATTGTAACATGTTTACCTTAGCACATGGTTACAGAAAGAATCAAATGAGATAATAGAGCTTTACAAGTAAGTAAATAAATGCCATAGTTACTTTTGTTAATAATAATTATAACAACATAATTCTTTTGTAGGAAGAAGCATTAATAATATATAGCTACTTCATTATCATCATCAACAACATATATTTATTGTGTGTGGCCAATATTTCTTGATATGTTAATCCTGTTACTAGACATAATGTAGAGGGTTTACTAGTAGAAGAGAGTGGGAGTGAATACTGGATCATTGGTGGTTTGGCCACACTAAATTGGCAGTTAGGAGAGTCCATTAATAGAAAAGCTGTAAACATCTGACATATAGGGAGTGCAGTAAATAGCTTTGTGAGGACTAATAATTCATTAAACAAGTACATAATGTTCACAATCTATATATCAAGCATCACTCTAGGTGCTTTGGTCACATTGTGAACAAGACAGGCTGTTCATGTGTTCATGGCACTTGAGGCCAATCGTGGTAATGGGCATTGTGAAATAGCTTATGCTAAGGGACTACTTAAGAGTTCCATAGAAATGCATCAAAAAGAGGGATCTTCTATCCTTCTTCTATGGGGGTTTTGAGAGAAATAACATATAAGATAGAATGGAAAGTAGTCAGATGTGGGGTATCATAACTGTATATTTTGTTAAATTTTACTGTCAATATATAAAACTCCTAATAGTAGCTACCATTGACCAAGTCGGACAGTCATGGAGTCACTTTATGGTAGCTCCGAGAGAACAAGTATTATTTTAATTCAATTTCAGGAGGATTGGAGAAAGGTATGGCCTTGTTGTGCAAGCTTCAGAGAAATACTTATCTCCCATAGCTATTGATTTTTTTCTTATCATTTTTATAAGTCTCCTGGGTTTTATAGCTATTCAGTTTTGTTTTAGTTTTTATTTATCGATAATTAGCTTCAGGCTTCAAAGTAACAAAATAATAATAGTGATAATTGGCATGTATTTTTTTTTTTAATGGAAATATTTCTAGCTTTTTACTTTTTATGATTTGCTTTTGGTTTTATCATTCTATAATGCTACTCTGTCTTAAATTTTTGTTCTAATTTTTCTGATAATATACCCATTTCTGATTGCTTTTTTGTTTTTAATATTTTATCAATATCTCTTTGCCCATCCTTTTGTTTTCAATCTTCATTATTTCATAACTAGTATTACAACTATATTATTTATAAACATAATAGAGGCCTGGTGCACAGATTCATGTTCCAGTGGGGTCCCTTGGCCTGGCTTGTGGGGATCAAGCTAAAACCAGCTCTCCAACATCCCTTGAGGGGTACTGGATTGTGAGAGGGCACAAGCCAGTCTGAGGGACCCCACCAGTACACGAATCATGCACAGACCTCTAGTGTGCATGTAAGATCTTTGATTAATCTCTTCCTATCCTCTCCCATCCCCTCTTCCCTTTAAGACTCATCAGTCTTTTCATGTTTACATGCCTGTGGTTTCCGCTTCTGTATTGAGCATCTGCCCCCTAGTGGTCGGTGCACGTCATAGCTACCAGTCGAATGGTCAAACGGTCAGCCGGTCACTAAGGGTTTTATATATATAGATAGGTGGATTTTGTTTTATAACCCAAAAGATATTTTCTCTTTTTTAAAAGGTATTCATTCAGCTAATGCATATTTCACATAATTACTGATAAACTTAATTGCCTCCTCTTTTTTACTCTACCTCAGTTTTTTACTCTGCATTTTACTTAGTAGTTTTGTGTGTATGTGTGTTTCTCAATGTGATTATCTGGTTACCTTAGAGTACATTACTTCTTTTATTGATTTGAATGGTGAGAGTAGGGGAAGAACTTATATGCATATATGCATAATCTATTGACACTGACAGTAGTTCAGTTCAGGCCTTGGGTGTGTGTGTGGGCAGGGGAAAAAGAATGGGAAATCTGTAATACTTTTTAACAATAAAGATACATTTTTTAAAAGAATATTTCCCATTCCACTAGTGCTTACTTTCCTATTCACAACACTCCTGATTAAACCCATAGTTCTCAGTTATCATCTAAAAGTAACTGAGAACAAAGAACAAAACTATACTCTGTGCCCCACCCCAAAGGCCTGCATTTACCCATTTAGCTGCCCCAACAAGAGAAAAACCTTAAAACTAAACTATTTCTTCACATCCTCTGTTTTGGTTTTATAGGCAACAGGACTTTCCTTTCCTCTGCCATCACCATCACTAATTATGGACTTTCCTGAGAGTGTAACATTTTAATAACAACATGTTAGTAAAGTGTACCTCCTAGTATCGATATATTACTTCTTTCAGTAATTCCCATGATAAGCAGTATATACTGTGTTTCCCCGAAAATAAGACATCTCCGAAAATAAGACCTAGCGCATGGAAAGATAAGACATCCCCTGAAAATAAGACCTAGCGCAACTTTGGGAGAAAAAATATACGACACTGTCTTATTTTTCGGGGAAACAGGGTACTAACTAGTAGCCCTGCACACAAATCCATGCACAAGTAAGTTGCTGCCGCCCTCCTGTAGCTCTCTGCTTCTGCTTGCTTGCTGCCCTGCCCTGTAGCTCTCTGCCGCCTGCTTGTAGCTTACTGCCCCACCCTCCTGCAGATCCCTGATCTGGTGGTTGTGCAGTTGGTCCTTACGCCTCACAGCGTAACAGATAATTAGCATATTCCTCTCTTACTATATAGGACTCCTCAGTCATACTCTCCACCCATTCCAATGATCTCTGCTGCCAAGGTTGTTGTTCTCCACTGTTTCCTCTTTCTTCTTGCTTCACTTAGGTTTTAGTAACAGACCTTCTCAGATGGTATGTAGGTTATATTTTGTTTGAAATTCATCATAACCAAAACTTTCTCTCTGAAGAATGTGAGTCATATCTTGTCCAGTTTCATGATTGATGTACTGTCGTTATTTTCTCGCAATCACATGTAGAAGTTACTCCACCGTTTTTCTGATCCTGATTTTACAAATGGAAATTTGATTTGATTTTCCTTTATAAATTGTTCATTTTGCAATGTGGAAGCTTCCCCCAACTCACAGCCTTTGTTTTGTATATTAATATTCCTGCTTCATTAGTATGCATTCAAAACTCATAAATTAAAAACCAGTCAAACTACATACTACTTTTGACTATAAAAATGTAAATATAAATTAAATGAAAATTTATATTTATAATGATAAACTTTAAATATATATCATTTTAATATAAATTATTAGCAGATTAGTTAAACTTAAATGTCAAAATAATCTCAGCACTACCTGAAATGAAAGAGATTAATCTTTTAAAAAGTAACATAATATTTGTTCTTTCTACCAAAGATGTAATTTTAAGAAGCCCCAGTCCTGTGACAGTGTGATTATTATATAGCCAGTATTTTTATATTTTCAACTGCCAACAGGGCTGTTTCTGACTATCCTATTGGAGGACTGATGAGAAAATATAGTTACTTGCTAATTCTTCATTTTCTTCTCACCCCTATATCTTCAAATCTTATGTTTATTTTCATATATTTTAGGAACTGTTTCACAACATTTTTTCTTTTAGAACTATTTTTACCACTAGGCATGGCTTAGAGAAGTTGCTCAGGGATCTGTGAGAACCATATGTTGATTCCAGGCTTATGGGAGTAAAAGTTTTTCTCTAGTTTATTTCACAAAGGCTAGCTTTTCTCCAATTCTAGGGGAGGAGAGATTAGGTTATTAATATGAATACTAATTATGATAAGAAAAGCTCTATCAATTTAAATTTTTATATAATGAAAGCCAGATGTAATTAGGAAATAATGACCATCATTTTTGTAGGGGTGAAAGAAGAGACATTTAAATTATAAGCAATCTTTGTAAACTATTTAGGGTAAAAAAATTTAAATTGAACACTGCCTTTTATGTAATCCTTGTAATCTTCATACATAGTAGGGATTCTGTATCTTTAAAAGGAAATTATTTCTTGACTCACAAAGCATGCTTTAAATGTTCCCCCAAACCTTATACCTCTCCTCCTCTTCTTTCCTTTCCTGAAGATTAAAGATGTATGTACATTTTACCACTCAAGAAAACAGAGCAGCATTCATTAATTTAAAAATTGGAAAATGTCTTACTGTGAATAATAAAGTAACAAATTTCCTATTTTTCTATTAAAGGTCAACATGATTGTGTAACTGTAATCAACAATTTCTTTCCTCGAGAGAGACTGGATTATTACACTAAACCCCAGGGACTGGATAAAGAGCCGAAGCTGCCCCCAAAGTTGGCAGGCCCACTTCACAAAGTTATCACTACAACAAATCTTCATCCTGTCAAGGTAGTGTAGTGTTTATTGTATTTGCTTTTTATTTAAATACTAGGGGCCCAGTGCATGGATTTGAGCACTGGTTGTGGTCTCTCAGCCTGGACTATGCCCTCTCACAATCTGGGACCCCTCGGGGGATGTTGGACTGCTTGCTTCAACCTGATCCCCACCTGGCCCAAGGGATGTAGCAGTGTGGGAAGCACCAGGCAGCCACGGAGGAGCCCGAATCGGGCTTAGCACTTGGTGCTCGGTTCTCCTAACTGCTTGCCGCTCGCTCCTAATTGCTCACTGTTCACTTCTTACTGCTCATTCCTTAGTTCCTTAGCACTGTCATGGAGGTTGGAAAGGCTCCTGCCACCGCCAGCTATGAGCCCAGCTTCTAGCTGAGTGGTTCACCTGCTGTGGGAGTGCATTGACCACCAGGGGGCAGCTCCTGTGTTGAGCATCTGCTCCCTGGTGGTCACTGTGCATCATAGTGACCAGTTGAGCAGTTGTAATGGTCACTTAGGCTTTTATATATATAGACTAGAGGCCTAGTGCTCTGGAGGGAGGGTGTGTCCTTCAGTCCAGCCTGCCCCCTCTCACAGTCGGGGAGCCCTCAGGGGCAGGAAATTACTGGCAGTCAGGGGAAGGTGATGCCTCATCACACCTCAGCTGGCCCTGATAACCTGAGCCCCGGGTAGCCCTGCGTGGCTGAGCAGCCGCCAACTGAGGCTTGCATGTGCCTCAGGCTAGCCCTGGGTGGCTGGGGGTGAGGGGTCTGGAGGGGAGGCTGAGAGGACTGGGTGCTGCCATCTTCTGGCTGTGGGACCAGCAGTCAGACATCTCCTGAGTGGTCCCCGATTGCGAGAAGACGCAAGCAAGGCCTAGGGATTCCCTCCTCCCTCTGTGCAGGAATTCATGCACCGGGCCTCTCGTAGGATTGGATCATACTGTCTTGGGTTGGGTTTTATAGATGCAGAGCTTGCAATGGGTTCTTAATCAGTTGATACAATGAAGGAGTGCTCTCATTTGAAACCTGGAGCAGAGTGAAGACTGGAGAGGAAGAAAAGCGAGGCAAAGAGGTGGATTCACCTGAAGCCTAGCCTCCGGTTCATCTCACAGGGAGCTCTGCACTATTAATGGCTCCGGACTGGCAGGGAGCCAGGCTTTCACATCAGTCATTGGCTGAGGCCTGTGCCTGGAGGGAAAGGAAGGCCTTCCAGATTGTGCCAAGCCAGACAGCTCCATTTGGACGAAGGTCCCTGGGGAAGAAGGCAGTTCTAAGCCCAAAGCAGCCAATGCTCCCAGCAGCAGGGACCTGGGGTGCACAGGCCTGGTAGACAGGATCTGGGCGGGGCACCTGCAGCATCCACTATAATAACTGGCCTTCTACGAAATGTTCTGACATGTAATCATGAACACATTTTTTAATGCAAGTATCTGTTTGATGACTTTACATAATACAGTTCTTAGGTTAAATCACATAGATTTTTAAACTTTGTCAACCAACCCAGAAGTTCAAATGGCTTAGCTAGGGAAACTTCAAGAGCTGTTCTGAACTATTTTCACTGCTGTTTTCTTCATATTTTATATACTGTCTTTCTATATGTTTATAAAATGTTTAATCAAGGCAAATGGAGTATCATTTCTTTAACGAGTCATTATAGAAAACTCCATATGTGCTACAGTAAGGCTGTCTTTTATCAAATTTCAATGTCTGTTTTAGTTTTCATTCATAACATATAGATTTATAGTAATTCAAAGCTGTTTGGTGAGCAGGACAGTATGTTGGGTAAAAAAATTGAGGTTTTCCCTTTATACAAGGTGTTGTTATACTGCAGTGAAATAGATTTCCTTAGAAGCCTATTACAAAAGAGGAATCTGTGGAGTAAACAGAATACCATTAATATAAGTGAATAATTCTCATAAGCCTTTTTGATGGTGTACACTCATTTGAAGATATGTTCCAAATTGTATATAATCTTACTACTTTAGTGATGCATCTCTTTAGTTATAGACTTTGAAGCTCAAGAAACAAATGAATGAACAAAATGTATCTGATATTTGGTCCTTCACCCCAATTAATTTTCTGGACCATCAGTAAAGTTGATAAACTAGCAGATTTTTCCTATAAGACTGACAAGTAGAGTCTATGCTGTTTTTATTTTCCAAAACCTAAATGTTTCCTGTAATGTTCTGAAAAAAAACACTAGAGGCAAACTTGTGATCCTATGTAGGCAAAAAAGAAATTCAGCTGCGAATCACATGTTTGCATTTCTACTGGAGAGTATGTGGGCCTTAGAATTTAATCTTTAACAAATATTTAGCCTCTTCTGATTTAGTAGTTCTTGTACACCCAGCACACAGATGGCAGAACTACAACTACACCACCATGGCATTTTTTTTTTTTTTTTTGGCGGGGAAGGGACAGGCTGGAAGAGAAGTAGGGTTTTTCCTAGGGACACAGTATTTCTCAATGTAGAGAATTTGTTGTTTTACAGAGCCTGTTGTCTCCCCGCTAGCCTGAGCATTATTAGACATTCTGGTTTAGATTGATTTGAAGAAGTTCCTGCATTTCTATTTTTGTTTCCACTCCCTTGAGATTGCAGTAATTTCAGTTGTACAATAATGGAGTCTGTGGAATAATTTTTGATGTTTACATGGAAACTAGTCTCTCAGAGTTAAAGGTCCTAAGAATTACGACATCTCCAATTATTTTGAGTAAATCAGATTAAGAGCATATTTATACAGGTAATAAATTATAAAAGTATATAAACTGAAATAGCCTTCATTATATTTTTTAGAGCATTTGGTTTTATAAGAGCTACTATTCTATGATTATAGTACCTTCCTTCAGAGCAGACCTGAAGGAAGGTACTATAATGGATAAATGCTCTATTCACTTGAAAACCTTTCTTTTACCCACACTTTGGATAATAGCTACCCAGTTGCTTTTATGGTGGCCCATTTTCATTGCTTTACCCCTTTTCAAACTGGCATAGGTCTTCAAAGGGAGCCTTATAAAAATGTAATTAACAGCCACTCTATAAAGCTAAAGACCTTTAAAAATACGCACAGAAACCCTCAATACACAATTCATGCTTTTCCTACAGAGCACCCTACAAGGCTACACAGCATTGAAGTTAAGTGCCTGCTACAGTAATAAGGATGTTTGTTTTCAACAGGGACTTGGGGAATTGTGCTGCTGCCCAGAATACAGAGGTTAGGAAGGAGAAAATCAGGCTCACAGGAAAAATTACAAGAGTTGAACAGGCCTCTCAGTGGTTAAAAGGCAGATATGCACCAGTGAGCCCATTTTTTATTGTTAAATTATTTTTAAGCCCAAAATTGTTCAAAATGAAAAACAAAAAAAAAAAGAATTCAAAATGCCACTATCTAAACATATTCTAAGGTAGCCATTCTCTGGGAGATGAGCTATATCTGCTTTTTATACCTGTAAGAATGTATTTATTTCTTCATAATAATAATAAGGATTTTCTTTATAATGTATTAAATTATAACATCACAGAGATTAAAGGGAGCAAACTAGTTCCAGTATTATCATTTTGTGTGCAGCTGTGTAAAATGTTTCTGTAAGCTCATGGTAGAGCTGTGGTGATGTAACATGTATTGTATATATATCTGTATATTATGAAATAAATAAAGCCTAATACCTTAACAAAAAAACATTATTCTGGATTCTGTTTGAGGTGTTTTTTTTTTAAGATATTGGTTTAAGATCCTATGCTTTCATTATAAATGCTATATACAAAAGTATTGAATAAACATCTCTAAATTATTGTAGTTGACTGCAGAAATATAAATAACTAATTCATGCGTCTTCACTACCACAGTTAAATTTTGATATGTGCTATGGTAGGGAAAGTTGTCAGCAAATTTACCAAGGGGGATTCTGATTATACTTATTTCATGAACTCTAATAATTGATTATTGAGTGCTATATTTTAAGTAAAATGCAAGACTATATATTGATCTAGTAGTGTAAAAATAGTTTTAATTTCACAAGAACACTTAATCTATGTATATAAAACTTCCAAGTAGGAGGCTAGGCCCGTGTTTTACTTACGTCAACAAATTATCTTTATGTCTAAAGAAAAGGATCTAATTCATGAAATCTACTGCTTGTTCTTCCCAGCATTTAAATTATCTGGAATAGGTATTATCACATGTTGGTTAACAAATGCTGACTTTCTGCTCAGTGTATGCAATTGTGCCCATGTTATACACACATTTACATCACTGTTATGCCACTGGATTTTACAGCTGTTCTCTGCAGATCTACTGCATGTTATCTACCATATAACGAAAATCATAAAAAAAAAAAAAAAAAGCATCTAATATTCTTGCTTTTAAAGCTATGTTTGCTTTCCTCTTTTATCTATTTTCATTATTGTAAAAGCAAGAAGATACAGGGAAAATCTCCACAGAGAAATGTAAAACATCAGAGTCCTTCTGTATTGGGTTTGTAACTTTGATCAAGGCCATTTGCATTCTAATTCGAATTAACATAGTAAGTCTGTAGCTGTAAAAAAGACTTTCCTTGGTAATCTTTGGAACTCAACTAAAAGTAACTAATTTTTATACAGAAAAGTCTCACTAGAATTTCTTCTAGATCGTGATGCTTATAAATGAGAATCCTCTGCTGGCAGAAGAAGCAGCCCTGAACAAGTGCTACAAGGTGATGGATTTGATTTGTGAGAAATGTATGAAGCAAAGTGACATGAACGAAGTATTGGCTATGAAAATGCATTACATCAGCTGCATCTTTCAGAAATGTATTAACTTCTTAAAAGATGGAGAGAATAAATTGGATACTCTGATCAAAAGGTACTGTTTTTACAACGCCAGGTATAAAATACACTCACATAGAATGTTTTATTATATGAAGCCTTGTTATAGATTTAAAGTTTAAGTATTTTAGTAGCAGTTTGTTACTTTTGGGATCACCTTCAGTCTGCAAGAAACAAGGACAATTTTATACTTAGACTGTAGACTGATTATTCTGCTCTATGCTCTCTACAGTGCTTTGTTATCCCCCATTACAAGCGAGGAATCTGAGGTGTGGAGAGGTGAAATAGCACACATAAAGTCAGACAGCTCGAAAGCAGCCCAAGAGCAAATGTGAGGACAGGTGTGCTGTGCATAGGTGGTACTCTGGATTCATCATGGCACTCCATGTGTCTCCATCGCTGTACCTGGGACAGCTGTGTGTTACCTTTGTTCTCTAACTACCAGGGATCAAGTTCTCCTAGTTTTCCCAAGAAAAAGTGAACTCATTCGGAAGGGTGTGACTTGCTGAGAGTTTTCATTCTTTGTACAAATAACTGACATGGTAATAAGTAACTAGCGAGTCTGATAGCAGTGTTCCCTGTGCTTTATGGCAGGGGTCACTTGCATAAATACCTCTCCAGGCACCTATCGCTGACAAGGCCTCTCTTGACCCGGAGGCAGAACAGCAGTTTGAATTGAGTCTAACCATGATTTAAAGAGATGATGACAATCTTAAATAGCCAAGAAGAAGCTATTAAAAGTTCATGGGTTAAACTGGGAGGAAATGCTGAGTAATCCAACCCCAATTACTGTTTGAAATCTATCTTTCAGCTTATTAAAAGGCCGACCTTCGGATGGCTTTCCGATATATCAAGAAAAGATCATTAGAGAAAGTATCAGAAAATTTCCTTACTGTGAAGCCACACTCCTCCAGCAGCTGGTGCGAAGCATCGCTCCCGTTGAAATTGTAAGGTTCTTATCACTAAGTTCACTCCAGCAGGAAGACCTAAGGGCATATTTTGTACAATGAGAGGCAGGTTCTCTTTAGCATTAATTAATGATTTAGTAAGAGGAATTGTCCTTTTAGAAAATTTTCAAGAACAAATGTGGAGATAGGTTTTCCAGTTAATCCTGTTTATCCATTTCCCTCCTCTAATCCTTTCCTTCCATTTATATCTTGTGGTTTAATAAACAGTAATTCTCTATGTTGGAGTGTAGGTGGTTATAGTGACCTGCATTTTATTTTTTATTTTTAAAAAATATATTTTATTGATTTTGTTCAGAGAGGAAGGGGGAGAGAGAGAGAGTTAGAAACATTGATGAGAGAGAGTCATCGATCAGCTGCCTCTTGCACACCCCCTACTGGGGATATGCCCGCAACCAAGGTACATGCCCTTGACCGGAATCGAACCTGGGACCTTTCAGTCCCCAAGCCGATGCTCTATCCATTGAGCCAAACCGGTCCCGGCAATGACCTGCATTTTAAATACCTCTGTGAACCTGGGGAGGTGGGTACACATCTGCTATGTCATACAGATACACACATGTTCACGGTAGTTTGTGAAAAACTAGGACAAGGTCCTGCATTAGATGCAAATAGGAATTGATTATCCAGGGTGATGGTTTTGGATGGAATGATGAAGGGATGAGGCCTGGCTCATTGTATAATATGTCCTGATGAACAGTCTTACAGTATGTTCCAGCTTCTTATAGTCTAGCTTACTGCCTCTGACTTTATAAATTTTCCATTCTAAAAAAAGAAATCTATTTATACTTTGCAGCTATGGGAAGTAAAGTTTAACTTTATCTGCTCTTTAAAGTACTTATTGCACTTTTGTCCTATATTTATTTAAGCAGTATTTCATAGGACGCTTCCTGCCTTCACTGTTTTGGTTAGGTTTCTGTTCACCTTTTCTATACAAGTCATGCTTTTACACATTTCAATCAAATCCTTTATCAGCTTTAGTCTATTAGGTAAGAAATTGATCCTGACCCTCGTCCCATCCATGGCTTCCTCCCTTCCAGTGGCAATGTGGCTTCTTCTCTGCGTAGGGTGTTGTATCTTTTTCAGTGAGAAACATCGGGACTAGAAATGGGTTCCAGGTGCTCCTTTCACATTAAGACTGCACCTATTCAGAATCACGAAATAAGAGAGACCTGCACAAACAAGATGATCTCACGAACCTCATGCGTTGATTAATGCTTGAGAGCTTGCCGTGATTTCCCATAGAGATGCTTTATCCTGTTTAATATACTTGACTATTTAATGATTAAGCTTTTGTGAGATTAAAGTTAGCTAGTTATGTGGGTGGCTTATTAATCATGAATGTGTTTGGCTGTACATATCAAAACTCCAGCTAAGGACTTATTTATTTATTTACTTAGAAGCCCCCAAATAGGCAGACCAGATCTGGCCCAGTGGCTCAAAAATAAATAGATTGGGGACCCAAACATTTTCCCATGCAATATTCTTTTGTTGTGTAGATTTTCATACTCATGCTTATGGCTTCATGGTTGCAAGGCATCTGATGCTCTTTACCCAAGCTCACATTCCTATCCCAGGCAGGCAAGAAAGGAACGGGGCCTACAGCTGGGAAGCAGGCTGTCCCAGAACCCCGCTGCCTGTGCTGCATGGCCACTCTTAGCTGCACAGGAATCTGGGAAAAGAAGTACTTTTGGCTGGTCTAAATACTGCTGCTGCAAAAAAATTATGCTTCCATTAGTAAGGAAGTTGGGAAAATGATTAGCAGATAAACAACTAGCAATGGCTGCTATGGGTTATTTCCAGCACTAACAAGTGGTAGTTGACATTCTGCCTTCAAGGAGGAAAACAGAAAAACTAAAAATAGCAGTCCAGAGTACTTTAAAAAGAAGTCAAAGCAGGTCAGTGTAGGGGTCAACAATTCATCTTAGCCCTGTATCATAGAATATCGTAGTTAGAGTTGATGGAGTACACTGATTGTTTATCCTAGTGATGTGAGTCATTGAGAGGAAGTTTATTAATAAAGTACGATTTAGTGCATTTTAGAAAAATTTCTCTTCAATTTTTTTTTATTTTTTAAGTTATATATTCTGCTCTCAGGAAAACTACTTATCTGGAATGCTTGTGGTTGTGAGTGTCCCAGATAGCCACTGTTTACTTCCTGATGGGTTTTGTGATATTGCAAGTTTATAAGCATTGAAGCAATGCTGACCTTTGTTCATAACATGGTGGTTCTTTGGCTGGCTCCCATGGGGGTCACCTCTGGCCCCTTCTGACAGTGCTCATGCCAGGGCCCTGATGCAGAGGTTTTGATTCCCTCTGCCTAGTGTGGAGTTCTGGCTCTGTCACAAAGTTCAGCAGGGAGTGGGACGTGTGGATACACTTGAGAAATGTTGCTCCAGCCTTGTAACAGATTATACTGTTAAAGCTGTTTGCTTTATCAATTCATAGCGTATGTCTTAACTTCTGGAAGGCTAGCAAAGGTCTCTGACTTTATAGTATCCTGGATACAGTATCCTGTTTGTTTTTAGTCTGACTGTCTTCCATGGGTGGAGCATTGGAACCTAAACAAATTCTTATTTAACAAGTAGATGACTAGGTTTTATATAGCAAGAAAAAGTTCTTGTCATCCAGTAATGACAAGAAAGATTCCATGTGGTTAGTCAGCTGTGTCATCCATTTCTTTTCTGAAGCAATAATTCAGATGAACAGCCACTTTGGCGGCAAAACAATTACACGGAATAATAAGTATTTAGTGTAACATTAAATAACAGTAATTCTCAAACTTTTAGTGTATTTTAGAATTATCTGTAATAAAGCAGGTTAATAGACCACCACATCTTAGAAATTCTAATTTAGAAGGTATGGGCTGGCAGATTGATCTGAATTTTAAGCAAGTTCTCTGGTGCACAACATCATTTGAGCACAATTTCCATAGACCTTTAATCCTGGTAAAATATATTAACTTAAATATCTACTATCTGAGGTTTCATTTCACCTATTTTTTCTTCCATTTACACTATCTTTATTCCAAACGAGCATTCTTACCACTTAAATATAAAAGGAAACCCAGCCATTTTTATTTTTTTTTCAGAAAGAACATAACAATTTCAAAATGAGTGCTACTTTAAAATACTTCTTAAATCTTTTGAATATTTCATTTGACTATCTTGAATATACAGAACAGTGTAAAACAATGTTCTAAGAAAATCCCACTGAGTTGATTGTCTTATATCTGAAATCTTTGTGGGCTTATTGGAAAATCCTAATTGAATAAACTTTTATTCTAGAAGAGGGCAAACTTTTTATCTGTGAATATTTGGAGCCATAACTTAGCTCCCGTATACTTTATAAAGAAAATGGTATAATCAAAAGGGTATTTATCATTTTGTCACGATGAAGTTGATGTAGTCGTTAACCTTAATGACTTTGTCTCTTGTGTGTCTGCTTCTAGATAACGTTGTTCATGAAGTGTCATCTCATTAATCTATCTATGGTCATTTTAGAGAGTTTCATCTTTATACCCATTCTAGGGTTCTGATCCCACTGCATTCTCTGTACTTACGCAAGCCATCACCGGTCAGGTGGGTTTTGTGGATGTTGAATTTTGTACCACCTGTGGAGAAAAGGGAGCGAGTAAAAGATGCTCAGTTTGCAAAATGGTAAGAATGAAGTTTTTTAAAGTTTGACATCTGACTTAGATTTCATCCAAGTTGATAATTGATTTTTAATATTCTGTAAATATAATGATTGATATTAATTTCCTAATAAATTTTAATACATTAGATATAAAATATTTCATCTAATACTGAAAAGTAATTTGGAAGAGAGCTAAGGATAAGTGTAATTCTGTGCCCTATCTTCTGCCAAATGCTCAGACTGCCCCGACTTCTGTGCTGACCACCCCAGGAAGAAAAGGATGTGAATACATGAGTGGATATGAACAAATAAGAGAAAGGTCATACAAAGGGGACCGAGGCTGGGCAAAGAGCCTAGAATAAGACAATTCATAAGTGTACAATCTTAAATATTCTGATATTGACTTGAACTATAATCTCTTTATCAGCTCTTCCTTATAAAACTATGACTTCCTTGTGATTGTTACCAATCTTTAAGCTTTCTGGACTATACTACCAACTTCTGCCAAAATTATCTTTGTAAAGATAATTCTTTACAGTAATATCTGCTTGTGTTTTTCTTCCATTCAGATATTACACACACAATGTGTCTGTACATTCACTTTACCCTGTAGAAAATGTTAATTTCTTATTGTTTTAAGATTGACATTCTTCAGCACATTCTTCTGTACCCCATTATGTTTTATTGTAACCTACTTCTCTTGCTTCATCTCCTTTAATTTCTTACTTCTCCGAGTCTCAGTTTCCTTATGTGTGAAATGGTCTAGAGTTGTGAAAATTAAATGAGACCTGTCTATATAGGCTAACTATTGTTGCATATAAAAACACTCCAAAATTTCCTTTTAAAACAACAATCATATTTCTCTCATGTTTGTGATGGGCTGAGCTCATCCTCCTTGGACCAGCCGGCTTGGCTGAGCATGTTCTCGTGGTGATGGCAGAAGTATAAGTCCGCAAATAGAAACACACATGAGGCTCTTGAGGTCTAGCCTTGAAACTGCTATGCTATCTCATTCCTTGGGCCCAAACAAGTCACATGGCCCAATTTTAAGTTGGTTTTCCTCTCCTTCAGTAAAAAGAGCTTTGCAGTCACATGGGAAAGCATATGGATGAAGAACTAGGGCCAGTAATGCAACATACAATGCCATTTATGTTTAAGGGGCTACTGAAATGCTTGCCATATTATCTTGCCAAAGTCTAAGCTTCATTTACTCAAAATTCTTGTCCTTGAACATGTCATTTACTTCCCCTTTCCTGCATTTCTGTACAAGATAGTCCCTACACTTGGAATGCTTTTCCCATTTCTTTGTCTACTAAATCCTCCAGCTGGAGTGCGTCATTGCTTCCTCTGTGTTCCCATTGCTGTCTGTTACATCCTGTACTAGGCCGAGTTTCTGACTCCCTACATGCAGCCTCATCCTGCCCTTTTTTTGACTGTAGCTTCCTCTGGGACAACAATTGCACTGTACCAATTCAGGCATATAGTTGGTTCTCAGATAAATCTTTTGTAAAAGAGTCTTTCATAGGCCATTTGTTATATATCCATTTGTTATATATCCATTACTGTTATAAAGTGTAAACTAAAAGTTACAACTATAAATCAATACACATGCACACATCATGGTTTCAAAACAAAGTATAGAAAACTTAATGTTTTCACAGCAAGGTTCTTAGTTTAATGTCATAATGGAAAAATCCTGCAGTCATAGCTCTTAAATGCAAATAAACCTACAATTGCTTTTCAGGTAATATACTGTGACCAAAACTGCCAGAAAACACACTGGTTTGCACATAAGAAAATCTGTAAGGATCTCAAGGACATTTATGAGAAACAGCAATTGGAGGCTGCCAAAGAAAAGAATGACGAGGAGAACAGTGCGTATATAAAAGCCGAGCTTGCACTGCTGCTTAGCGGGGAGGGAGCAATGGATGATATGAACAGGGCCCCTGGGACCTGAGTTTTCTCTCGGGCCTAATGTAGCTTGGGTGACCAGTACATGGATTAGATTTCTGTGTGGTCTCAAATGTGTTCCTGCTTTGAATCCCTGCTTTTGGGGGATAATTTATAGGATATAGTCAGCCTCCGTGTCCCTGGAAAACAAAGGACATGAAATTCTGATTTTATTCCACTTTCTGCTTTCTAACTGCCCTGGAACTGTAGGCCTCTTAATGAGTATTTACTTACATTCTGCTCACAAAGCGTTTTAAGGTCTTTGAATAATGGAATAATTAAATCTCCTGATGGCTAACCAAGTATTTCAAGATTTGAAGCCTTTAAATTGCTTAATTTAAAAACTGCAGGTGATTTTTTTAGAGCAAGTTAATGAATTCCAATGGAATTTTGCAGATCTAATACTGCACAGGTTATATTTCTCTAAGTGTCAGAACAGTGAGTTCCATAGTATTTTTTCTCTCCTTCCCTCAAAAGTGTATGACTTACCTTGTTCAGAAACAGTGAATTGTTTCAGCAATATTGGGGGAGAATTGCCCCCACTCCTATGCAAAACCCCAGAGTATATATCACGCATTTTATGGAGTACTTGTAGTTTGAAAAGGTTGCCCAGGTGACTTTGATACTAAACACTTCCTCCTTTCACCCCTCAAGGGATTATGTCCCCTTTACTACTTGGTTGAGAAACACTATTAGGGGATTGCATAATCTGTAAAAAATTAAATCTAATTTGTATAAGTAAACTGTGAAGAAGATAGTCAGGCTTTCGGATGGTCATGCTTTTGCCTGTTTTCTGATGAAACCTGGATCCTAGGTGGCAGGGACAGTGAGTAACAACTGGTCATCTTCTGTACAAGTTGTGAGAGACGGATTGTTGCCAATGTGGGAACTCCCAGTGGCTAAACATCAGCACAGCCACACACGACTCAGTATTACAAACACCGTTATTTGCCACAAATGTAGGTTAGGTTTTACTATCCCTGACTTTGTAGGTAAGGAAACAACTTTGTACAGACAGTAACCCACAGACATCAAGTTAATTCATGGCAAAGCTCTACTAGAAAGCAAACTTTGTCAGGTCCCAAACAACGGTCCTGACTTAAAGGCCTGGCTTTGGAGCCAGAGTCCTGAGTTCAAATGCCAGTTTTGTTGTTTTTCTTGCTGTGGAGCAAGTTAGTGAACCCTACACCTTCTCTCCTCAGTTTCCCCACCTGTAAAATAATGACAACAGAGATAATTTCCCTCATGTGGTTATGAAGATGAAATGATACATGGAAAGCGAAAGGAGAATGACTTTTTTTTTTTTTTTTTTTTTAGCAGATGGCAAACTCGATGTCGATTCGAATGGTGTTAATGATGAGCAGCCAGAGGCGGCGGGACCAGCGGTGCCCCAGGAGGACAGTGATGATGCTAAGGGCTCTGAGGAAGGAGAGAAGGCCTCTCTGCAGTGTGACGCCGGCCTGGAGTGCTCTCAGGAGGCCACTGCGGGTCCGCTGGCATCGGAGGAGTAGAAGCCAGAGCACGTGTCCGCACGGACGGTCCTCTCCCTGCTGGGCTGGAGAACTCCCTCCGCATGGCACCCTGGCAGGGTTTCCTAGAATAGATAGATGCTTGCCAGCAAAGCTGTGTCTACCGTGCTCCAATTCCCCCTGACTTCTGTTCTGTAATTTGACAGATAGTTTATGGGAAAGAATTAATTTTTAAAATACAGGAGAAACATTTCTACTTCCTTTCGGAACCCAGCTTTCCAACAGTTGTTCTCAAAGGGGAGAAAAATCCCCTTAAAGACGAAATAGAGGCTCCAGGAAACAAAGGGTGAAGTCAGACAGGTGTAGGAGAGAGGAGATTTTTAAGAAAGAAAAAGTTACAGCAACAAAGATGGGTAGTTAAAAAAAAAAAAAAAAAAAAAAGCATAACTTTTGTGTGAATAAAATGCATATAAATAGCATTTATAATAGTGAAGTTCTATGGAGTAGGATATAAGGAAATAAAGAAAGGCTGTGTGTTTAAAGAACTCTGCCAGAGTCCAGGTAATTATAGTTTTCTATAGAATTATCCCGAGCAGTCTGAACTGTATGTACTTCCTGCAGTGACATTTTATCTACATACAGTGTTCCTTTAGAAATACAAGCTTCCAGGAGGCACTAAGGCATGGACAGAGCTATCTCAGCTTGTGTAGTAAGAGGATTTTTTACTAAACAATGGCTAAACATAGTTTCCACAATTGTAAAACTAATTCATGTGCCATATTCCACTTGAAAGGTTGACTTTTATCTTCCTGCAAGCTTTTCATGTGGCCCTTCCTGTCCAGAAACGGATTTATAATTGTCCTTTATAAAATGTTCCGGCATCAGTTCTTAGAGTGCAGTATTTAAACATAAAGTGGGATGGCTGAAGACAGCGCGTGTTACATAGTTTCTTGTGTTGATTGTAAAATAAATAGTGCCTATTAATATAACCAACTCACATCTTGTTTCATAGTTAATTGCTCAGGTGGCACATATTAGAAAACAGCAAATATTAGAAAACTTAGCCAATATTGGAACCAAAGTAGTGATTGCTTTTTGTTTGTTTGTTTTTAATTTATTGATTTGAGAGAAGAAGAAAAAACACATATCGATTTGCTGTTCCACTTACTTGTTTATACATTTATTGGTTGATTCTTTTATGTGCCTTGACCAGGAATCAAACCAGCAACCTTGGCATATCAGGATGATGCTCTCACCAACTGAGCTACTTGGCCAGGGCCAATAATTGTTTTAATATGTACAATTGCAAATAAAACAACTAAAATTCTCATTTCACTTCACTGATCAAATTATTCTATCTTGCTGCTTCTATTTCCTTAAAACACATCTTTGGAGCATCCTATAGCATGCTGCATGTGAGTAAACTTGTTAAGTGGTTAGAAAGCAGCAGGCGGAGTTTGTCTGAACTTGTTAGTCATGACAAGCCTGCCCCATTCATCAAGGTACCTCGTCTGCACACAGGTGAACCTTGGATAGGAAAACTTCCTCCCAGGCTGCCTTGGCCCCCAGATGTGTTTTTTACCTGAGGTCCTTATTTTTAATTGTTGTTTTGGATTTGTGTTGACATTCTGTATTTTCATCATGGTCCCTGTCTTTGGATACCATGGCGAGTACTAAAAAAAAGCAGAAGGAAATAGGAAAATCTATTGCAGAGGTAGTTTTCTCCTTCATTGAAATGAATGTTGATCTAAATCGGAACTCTAACACAGCTATAACCGACATGAATAGGAACTCGGACAAAGAGGACCTCACATATAAACTGTATCAGTATCAAAATTTTCCATGAATGTATTTCAGGAAAGGGATGGTCAGAAAATGAGGTTTAAGAGAAAATGAGATTGGTTCTGGTTATAATCTTTTTGTCACAAATAACCAAAAATAGAAGTTTCCGTTATAATACCATCAAAACAGGTGTTAGTCCAGCATTTTTTTTAAACCATGTATATTATTTTCAATATTAGAGGCCCGATGCACGAAATTTGTGCATTGGTGGGGAGGGGTCCCTCAGCCCGGCCTGCGCCCTCTTGCGGTCTGGGACACCTCGCTCCTTCCTGCCTGCCTGCTAGCTGCTCCTTAGTGCTATCCTGGCGGCGGAAGAGACTCCCGCCACTGCCGCTGTGCTTGCCAGCGGTGAGCCCAGCTTCTGGCTGAGTGGCACTCCCCCTGTGGGAGCGCACTGACCACCAGGGGGCAGCTCCTGCATTGAGCGTCTGCCCCCTGGTGGTCAGTGTGCATCACAGTGACAAGTCGTTCTGGTCATTCCTCTGTAGTGGTCACTTAGGCTTTTATTATATAGATGCTATTAAGAAACATCTAAAAAATAGAACCTATAGGATTAAGCATAGTTTTATTATTCTAATATATCTTAATTAAAAGCACCTTCTCAATTGCACCTTCCATTTTGTAGAGTTTTAGGTTATATAACTAAGGATCATGTCTTTTCTATTTTGTGATTCTCCCCAAATACTGTGTTTTCCAATCTCAGACACTTAGTAGCCCTTCATTATTGAATAAAAATATTCAGTATTGAGTGCATTTTAAAAGCAAGTCTTTTCATTCAAATGAAATACTTAAAAAAGAGATTAAGTAAAAATTTCCTAACCATATTTTTGTAATTGAAATGCCTTTTTCATCCTTTTCGGTGATTATAAACTTAAAAATACCAAATTACACATTCTTTGATTACTCTTTTAGTGGTTAATCTGGAAATTACAATATCCCATCCTTAAACTTATGACAAATCTAATTAAAAAATTAATACTTATGCAACTCATGGACCCGTTTAAAACTGATCCTGTTTAAGTATGCTTTTCCCTCATGAAATGGATTGTTGCTATACCTGGCCAGCGTTGCTGCTTGGTCAGTCTGATACACTCAGCTCCTGAGGAGTAGCTTTGACCAAACTGTTACTTGATGGCGAATGGCCAGACTCTCAGTTCTAGAAGGGATGCAGTAGGATGCCAAGAACTAACAGTGACTAGTTCTCTGCCGCTGATATTCAGGAACCCTTGAAGATTGGACTGTGACTTTGAGAATTTGCCAGACACTTCACAAGGCATCCTTACCTCCAGCTAATATTTCTAGCACCATGGATTATACAGGGTTATTGCTGTATGGTTTATTTATTACTGTGCCAGTTACCCCAAAAACTTTCTAGCTTGAAGCCTCAATAAGCATTATCTTCTACAGTTTCAGCCAGCCAGAAAGACAGGAGCCACTTAACTGGGTGGCTCTGGCTCGGGGTTTCTCAGGAGGGTGTCGAGCAGCTTTCTGCCAGCGCTGCAGTCATCTGAGGCTTTAACTGGGTCTTGAGGGTGACTTGTAGATCATGTGGTTGTCAGTGGAAGGCCTTAGATCCTCCCTGGCTTTGGTAAGGAGGCCTCGGGCAGTTCCTCAGAGGACTGCCTTGGTGTCGTCACACATGGCTGCTGGCTTCCTGCAGAGTTACATGATTTAGGAGAGAGAACAAGAGAACATTTTGATTCTATGACCTAATTTGGAAGCCTCACCATCATGTATGCCTTGGTATCAGCCACGCACCCACATCAATGCCGAACTTTCTCTCTCAGCTGTCACCTTCTGCCAGGGAGCACATGGGAATTGCAGACTCTGACTGTGCACAGGCTCTTAGGGGCTCACAGGTGAAAGTTGGTTACAGAGTCTCAGTGACGGCTCACTGCTCCCACCAGGGCGCTCATCTGCCCACGCTGATTTCAGCCCACTTCTACAATCAGGGAGAGGCACAAGTAGGTTTTCAGCTGAGAATATGCAACAACAGTTTAATCTTGTATTACTACCTATCAAGTATTGTATTGCTTTCCATATGAACTGTAAACTGAATGTTGCCACACCCTCTAAATCTATATAACAGAATGTGATGATGGTTCTAAGCACCAGCAAAGGGGGACATGCCACCCTGCTTTTTATAACCTTTGATCATTGCTCTTGATCTTAGCTAGAGACAACCAGTGATGTGTGTGAGGTACCTTAACTGTCGGTTTTGTGTCTCAATCCCACGCAACTGCTGAAAGCTTTTCTAGTTTCTCCTTCCACTGGTAGCATTCTTGTGGCTAGGCTAAACTCAGATTATTAGCCCACATACAAACGACCAATGCCTTCAAAACAGCAGACTGGATTAATGAATCGTGGTACAATCATACCATGTAATACTGTAGTAATGAGAACAATAGAGTTACTGTTATTAGCAACAACATGGGTGAATTTTACAATGCTGAATAAAAGAAGCCAGACAAAAAATAATGCCACTCCTGTGATCTCATTTATATGCCTTTCAACAACAGACACAATTCATGTGCACTTTAGAAATCAGGACAGGGATTACTTTTGAAGTATGGGTAGTAATGAGTAATAATACTGGTGACAAGGAGGCTTTTAGAGTGCTAGTAATGTTCTAGTTCTTGGACCAGTTACATGGACAAGTTCATTGTTTGAAAATTTGCTGAGTTGAGCTCTTATGATTTGTATACGTTTCTATATACCATATTTTCCGGCGTAAAAGACAACCCCCCTAATTTTACAGTCAAAACATAGGTTTAGGCCTATATTTGCTGTATAAGACTACCCCCCACTTCCGAGGCAATACCAGTTCTTTTTTTAATTAAATTTTTAATGAGTGACATTTTTCGAACATACTGTAATATACCGTACATTGATACGATAAATGGAAGGTCTCTTCACAAATGGCAATGCCATGAACTTGACCGAGAAGAAATCCAAAAGAGAACATTAACAATGATGGCATCATCTGGAAAGAAAATTACATTAATAACTTGCAGAAAACACTTGTTTGTGACTGACTGGGATGATAAGAGGTTTTTCTAGGCAGGGGAGCATTATGAGCTTAAAATCCTTCAAAATCCTCATCATGTTCTTCTTCTGACATCATAAGTTCATCAATGACCTCTTGTGGTACATTTGTAAAACAGTCATCATATGGATCAAATTCCGAATCATATGGTGTGGCTTCCGCTTCGGCTTCCCCTTCATCTTGCCACAAGAAGTCATCCTCCATACCGTCCAAAGAATTTGATATGCCATACTTCTTGAAAGACCTGATTACTGTTTCTTCAGTAATATCATTCCAGGCTTTTATGACAAAGTTACACAAAACATCCAATTGTGCCTCACGCATGTTTCCTCCTTTTGTGAATAACTTTTCGCCGCTAACCATCCACTCATTCCACTGTTCTCTAATGCGATCTTTAAATGGCTTGTTTAGGCACACATCCAGTGGCTGTACCAATGATGTCAATCCTCCAGGAATAACTGCCGCATCTGTGTTTATTCTTGCCAGCCTGTTCTTTGTGCTGGTAGTTAAATGAGCCCTGAACATATCCCACACCAGTAGGCTATGTTCTTGACGAAGTCCACCTGGTCGCCTACTCCATACATTATCAAGCCATAGCTTTACCCCTTCTTCATCCATCCATCCTTTTTCATTCACATGTACAAAAACTCCAACAGGAAACTTGATTTTCAGCATTGTTTTTCTTTTAAAAATAATTGTTGGTCTTAGTTTGGTACCATCAGCTGTACATGCTAGTACCACGGTAAAACTGGACTTCTCATGTCCTGTTGTTTTAATTAACACTGTTTTTGCACCTTTTGGATTAACAGTTTTATTTCCAACCATATCGAAATTCATAGGAGTTTCATCCATATTTCCGATCTGACTTAATGCATAACCATGTTTCTTGTGCTGTTGTATTACATATTGATGGAAAAAACTTACTTTGCCGTCAAGATCTGCAGGTAATTTTTGTGCAACTTTGGTCTTTTGCCTCAGTACCAGATTGTGCCTTTCCAAGAACCTAGTACTACAGGATACAGTGGCCTTAAATCCTTTGCTGTTGTCTGGGTTAGATTTGGCCCATTGAAGTGCAAACATACATATTTTGTTTCATATCACTACATAACCATTTTGACAATGCTCAAGAACCATGTCTGCTACATGCTTTTAGAGTTCTGGCCAATAAGGGGTGCCTCTTAATGCACACTTACTCCTTGGCTTACTCTTTAATGCATCTTCATTTGCTTTCCAGTCTCAGACCATCTTTTCTGTTACTCCATATTGTCTTGCCGCAGCACAGTTATTGTGTTCCTTGGCAAAGTTTACAACTTTCAGTTTGAAACTGGCTTCAAATTTCCTTCTTCTTGCTGGAGCCATGATGGGTTCTTTTCTACCAGCCATTTGTTGTACACCCACTAATCTTTTAGGCCGGGGTTATGCAGTACTGTAGCTCCAGCTACACACAGAATGTTCTATTCGGTACCTTTTAACTCACTGTATGTGTCCTGATACAGCAGCTTTGGCTACACAGAACATTCCTGTGCTGCAACTGTATGTACCACGGTGAGCCAATCACAACAAGCAAAGGTTCAAAGGTTATAATAGATCGCCTCTCTGACTCTGGTCAATCTGAGCAGGTTTTTTACTAGAACACAGTGTAGCTTCAGGTACAGAAGATGTATAATTTGCATGCATAAAAAGCCTGCTTGGTTTGGCTGAGTTAGAGAGGCGGTCCGAGCAGCCTTGCAGTGATTGGTGCAGGATCGAGTTGGAAAATTAGTTTAGCGGCATATCCAGACGATTTTTGGGATCGAGTTGAAAAATTCGTTTAGATGCATATCGAGACGTTTTTCGAGATATATTCGGCGTATAAGATGACCCCAATTTTTGGTTGACTTTCTTTTGTTTCAAAAGTCGTCTTATATGCTGGAAAATACAGTACATACTTTACTTCAACAAAAACATACATCAAATGTGGGAATTTTTCATTATTAGCATTTATGTTTATATTTAAACTTGAGGCCTGGTGCACGAACATTCATGCACAGTCTGGGAGCCTTAGGGGTGGGAGGCGACCCAGCGATCAGGGGAAGGCAACACCCCATCACACCTCTGCTGCTGCCACTGCCAGCAGCGCAAGCCTCGGCCAACCCTGGTTACCTGAGCCTCAGGTGGCCCTGGATGGCTGGGCAGCTGCCATCTGAGGTTTGCCTGTGCCTTGGGCCAGCCCTGGGTGGCTGGGGGAGGTGAGGGGATTGGAGGACTCTGGAGGCAGGCACACAGAGCACCCAGGCCTGCCTGGGGGCGGGCCCGACCTTGGTGTGCGCCTGCTGCCTGAGCATGGCTGAGGGGACTGGGCACTCTCATCTTGTGACTGTGGGGGCCACCATCTTTGCGATAGTGTGAGTCAATTAGCATATTCTCTCTTCATTAGATAGGATGTTTCAAATAATGTTATAATAACAATGTTAACCACAGAGAAGTTTAATACACAACTGAAAACCAACAGGATTCCAAGAAATACCAGGGGTTATCTCAGTGTAATTGTGAGCATTTGAGGAGGGTTTGTGCCTTTGTCTTCAAGGTATTTTTCCTCCCTTTTGGGAACTGTGTTCCAGTTCAGAGAGGTAAAAGTCATCATTGATCTCTTCAGGGACCTGACAAAAACAGCATCTTCTGGATCATCAAACACAATTCTGAAAAAATAGCAGTTATGTTAGAAAATATTAGATCAAAATGAATTTTTAATTTAAATATATCAATGCCACACTTTCCACGGTGCCACTAACAAATACATTTCTAGTGCCACTGACAAATGACTTCCAGGAGAAGTGATGCTATTTTTGCTATGTATATTGTTTATTTTAATAATAGAGGGGTTTTTTTTGTTTTGTTTTGTTTTTTTTTTTTTTACCATATTTTGGATCAGCTATTACAGTTTAGGTCTCACAAATGTATACATTCATTTTTTATAATATATTTAATTGATTTTTTTACAGAGAGGAAGAGAGAGGCACAGAGAGTTAGAAACATCAATAAGAGAAAATCATCAATCAGCTAGGGATGTGCCTGCAACCAAGGTACATGCCTTGCCTGGAATTGAACCTGGGACATTTCAGTCTGCAGGTCGACACTCTATCCACTGAGCCAAACCGTTTTTTGGCTACGTTCATGTTTTAAACCAGTGTTAAATGAAATGATTAAAATATTTCTAGATTTTGTATGTATATTAGTATTTTGTATACATTTTATTGGAATATTTCCTATATTATGCTATATTTTATAAATGTGCTTGGGGATAATATTTTTCAACACTGAATCAAAACATAATTCTGAAGTTAAAAATTAAAAGAGTAATGGTTTTTAAATTCATCAATATTCATGAATTTGAAATATTTTTTATTGTTTAATGAAGTATTTGCTTTTGAAAATGTAAATTCCAGTGAATGTAAAATATTAATAATTGCTGTCACTGGGAATATTTAGGGGAACAGTAAGCAAGAAAGATAAAGGCTCTCATCCATAATAGCTAATAATTATTAAGTTTTATTTTATAAAGCTAATCACATTTTTATTTATTTTAGGTTATAAAAATAATATTAAAGCGTAAACATGTCAAATGTGAGTACATAGCTTGAATTCATCACAGAAAAATAGCATTTTTTTCTATTGAAGAGATAGTCATTTTTATCAACACATTAAAATCTATTTTGAAAAGTGGGAGTATTTTAGAGGGTAACAGAATTATGAAATAAATAATCCAATAATGAAGTTAAAATTAAAATCACTTACTTGCTTACATTATTTGCAAATGAAAAACCTAAAAAAATAATTTCTAAATTAGTATCTTTCAAATGTTTACTTAGCATTTTAAAACAATTGAACAATGCTGTAAAGAAAAAGTCAAGAACATAGGTCTCTGGTTTTCAAGCAAGCATTTCAATGAATAATCCAATCCATCAAAAATACCTTGATATCAAACCCTACAACAAAACGTTCTCTTAGATATAGTGCCTTAGGCTTGTCTTAGGTTTTGAGGCAGATTTTTAAATGCAATAAAATCTCAAAACCTGAGGACAGAATGCTTAATCAATTTAATTAATAATAGAATCCAAGTGGGAATTTTTATAATTGAGGTAATGAGTCTTATGTACAGAAACGGATCCTTTTTTTCTTCTTTTTTTAGATAGTCACATGCATTTACAAATGGAAGAATAGACCAAGTGAGGAGAAATGTTTAGGGCAGTTTAAACCATTTGGATTCTTGGCATTAACTTCAAAGAAATGGAATAAACAAATCCTAGATCACAAGACTCTCCATCTTCCCTCACTCTGGCGCTCAGAGGCTAGTCCTCAAAGCTTGGCCTTCTGGTATCTTGCAGAGACTGTCACTGTGTTGTTTATTCCTCTTCAGAAGACCTAGCGCCAGGCTAGAGATGGAATGTGGCAGCACCTGTTAGGCCACCAAAGCCCACAGTGCGAGCTCTTGCCAGTCCATAAGCAGCAGGGAGCACGCACTCTCTGCCTTCAGAGAGGAGCTGATGGCATCCTTCCCTTCACAAGTGCTGACTCAAGTCTCCCACAGACCAGAGAGCTGAAGCAAATGAATGTCCAAAATACAGCTTTGACTGACTAGCAGTGATGGTGCTCGAACCCAGGGGAACCTGGCCTCAAAGCTCGTGCTCTTGTCTCTACACTAGTTGTTCACTAACTGGAGAATGCACAGACCACGTGGAAGGCTAATGCACAGCTTCCTGGGCCCCACCCTGGAGTAATTTCTAATGGAGTGGCTCTCATTTGGGGCAAGCATTAACATTTGTAACCAATAGTTGGTAAGTGCGGCTGCTGCCACTGCTGGTGGTTTGGGGACCACACCTGGAGAGCCACGGCTCTGCACTATATTCTGCATCCAGAACATGTCCTCCAGTCATTCCTTCTATTCTATGGGACAAATAGGGGTGAAGCAACAAATTAAATGACACTTGGGGGAAACAATCATGTAAATTCTACATTGTTATACCTGGCCTGGTCCCTTCGAAAGTCGGGAAACAATTTTGGGATCTATTCTAAATTAAAAGAGATTAAAGGGCCCTAAGAGCCAACTATAATGATGAATTTTGACTGAATTCTAGTTCGAAAAAGCAGCCATGGAAGCCATCTTGTAACTAGGAACATTTAAATATGGATTACATAGTCAATAATATAAATGTTACTTTTCTTAGGTGTGATAATGGCATTGTGGTTCAATAGGACAATGCCATTTTAAAATTTACAGGCCGAACTAGGAGTGAACTGTCATAATATCTGTGACTGAAGAATTTAAATGATTCAACGATACTTTTATTTTTCCAGTTTACATAAGGCAAAGTCTAAATGGAGGGTGGTGAATATGGCAGAATATTACTATTGAATATACATGGGCATATACAGTTTAACATTCTTTCAATTTTTTCTATATTAGAAAAATAACACAATAGTTAAGGAAAAAGTCCCGATTTTGCCCTCATTTTCCTTCTTCTTTTCTTGCTCTGACTTAAATAATAATTTAGCTGGTTGTAGAATTCTTGGCTGACTATTACTTTTCCTTAGCATTTTAAAGGTATTAGAGCACTATTTTCTGACTCCCATAATTGCCGTTGGAAGCTTGTGAATCTACAGATCATTCATTTGTAGGTGAATTTACATTTCCTCTCTATTTTATGATAATATTGCCTTTGATGTGGATTTTTGTTATTAGTTTTTTATGCCTTTGGAATAGTTTTGTCTGATGTTTCTAAGGATTTATATCATTTACCAAATTTGGAAAATTCTCAGCCATTATTACTTCACACATTATCATCTCCCCAATTTCTCTCTATTTTTTTTTTTTTTTGGTCCCTTCAGGATTATTAAGCTCATATCAAACCTTACACTTCTAATATTTGCTTATCTCAACAGCTAATTTTCTATATCTTTCTCTCAGCTGCATTCTGGGTTTTTTCTTCAAACTCTTTTCCAATTTAATATTTTTCCCTTTATTTTTAGAAAATCTGTTCTAGAATGTATTTTCATTTTCAAATGTATGCTTGCAAAGTGTCATGAGAAAAAGGCTTTTGTCTTTGTATTTTTAAATCCCTCTTTATGGTGCAGCAGCCACCTTATAACCATAAAGCACACTAAGAATAGTAGAACGAAAGATAGTTACATTTTTGAACACAAGATAGTTACATTTTGAACACTAATGACGTCAATGTACTTTACACTAACCTGGAACCCTGCCTTTGTACTTCTTTACTTTGTGAGAAACATAAACCTCTATTTGTCTAAATCACTGTAGTTGGATTTCTGTTACATACAAGAAATTAATTCCAATTAATAAAACATCAGCTTATACTTGCATATAATAACCAAAATATTAACTGCTTATTTCTGGATGGAGAAATCATGGATGATCTTTATTTCTCCTGAATATATTTTCTATATTATCAAAAACTTATCGCTTTAATTGGTAAAACTGTCTAGTGATAGTGGTATAACAACAACCATAGTTTACTAACTAATCCCTTTATTCTGTGCTAGATACTGGGGTAAGGAATTCAGTGTAACATCTCATTGTTATTATATCATCTCGTTTAATTTAATATATGTAAATGAAGATAAGAATTGCATATATCCCTTTAATTTGACTAAATAAATTAATAATATTTGTTTCACTGTGTTGGTACTTAACTTATTATAAATTACAGTTATTATTATTATCAAATTATCCAAAAGTTTGAGAAATTATAATTTCATTTTTTTTGCAAAATACCTTTAGGTACCCTGCTGGCTTTTTTTTGCTTAAAAGGTGATCTAGGATCCCATGAGGCATCTACTTTTCCTCTGAATGCGATTGATTGAACAATATGAGCCTTTTTATGGTTAAAAATGGTAATCATTGATCTTCTTTCTTTTTCTGTAACTTCTGATAAATGCAAAAAGTAATGTTATTGCATAGCATTAAAAATAGTTATGCAGAGTAATTCAAAACAGATTTGAACACCTTCAAAAAGATAGGGTGTCCCCCAAAAAACATATACACACATTTTAAATAATTATAAAGGCAGTGTTTATTAAAACACATTTCATTTTCAAAATTGAGCTAACAACTGTTAAAGTATACATTTTTGGTGGGGACACCCTATATTTTTATCTGAATTATTAAATGTGAACATCCTGTCAAAACTAATTTGTGAAGGGCTATCACGGTCATCTCCACAAACTTACAAGTGCCCAATATATGCCCCTCAGGTCACAGGCATGACCAACCCTAATGTCTCCCAGGTCCTTTCTAACACATCACCATGGATGACTGACATCACAACTCTGATACATCCCTCTTTTTCTCCGGGCTGTGGGAAGAGAGGCATAAACATAAGGTTTTGATAAATCTTCATTAAGAAGGTGCTCAGTAATTATTAAGAATGTTCAAACTGAGGGTGGGTATGTATGGGGGGGCAATGGTAAAATATGTACACAAATAATAATTTAATAAAAAAATAAAATTTAAAAAATTTAAAAAAAGAATGTTCAAACCTAGAGACAGAAAGATGAGTAGACAGATTGATAAAGCAGGCCTCTAAAAACAAATAACTTGATGCACTGACCATTTTTGTAGCTTATATGAATCAGACACACTGGTTTATCTATAATGTCTAAAGATATATTCATAAAGAAATTATCATTGATAATATGCATTTAATATACACTGAGTGGCCAGATTATTATGATCTCTGAATGCATATTAATCTGGCCACTCAGGGTATATCCTATATAACAAAGGCTAATGCAAATTGTCCCTCAACCAGGAATTCAACCAGCAGGCAGGCTGGCCACCCGCCCATGTCCCCTCCTCCTGGCCATGCACTAATTCATGCACTGGGCCTTTATACACACACTGAGTGGCCAGATTATTATGCATTCAGAGATCATAATAATCTGGCCACTCAGTGTATATGTTTACAAAATTTCAAAGTACATTAAATCTCTTAAATATACCTTAAGAGATTTAATCCAGTTCTCTCATTTTTGAAATAAGAAGTTAAGATACTAGTGGGTAAGTGGTTTGACATTTAACACAATAGTGTCTAACGCAGAATTCAGACACCTGTCCTCACACTCAATGAGGTGACCTTTCCAAGATAGTGGTCAAGAGGCATACATTCCTGAAGTTGGGCAGGTTTCATTGAGTAAACCTTCCAATAAAAATCTTAAAACTTTCATTCACACAGAAATTTGTTTTCAAATATATTCAACATTTTTAAACCACTGAATTATGACTGCCTCTCAAATATTTAGCTGCAAGAAAAAGGCATCCTTACGTTTTCGGTCAAGCAACTCTACTCCTGGAAGGTGGTAGATGGTATATAGACGATACAGGTTATATTGGCAAAAAGGGTTTTGGTAGAGACCTGCAAAGATGTCAGATTTCAAAATTAATTCCATTCATCATTTAATGAAATGTGGACAGTCACAGGATGCATAGGAAACATAAGGACATGTTGAGCTCTGCTTCACAGACCAAATCAATGTCCTCAGCAAAACCTTAATTATTCAGAGGAGCACTTACTTTTTCTACCTGTTCAATTCATTTATTCAACAGATATTTTGAGTACTTATTGTCTAAAGGAACTGTGCTAAATGCAGGGGCCGTATCGTTGTCCGAAATCAACCACACGTGAGAACACTTTTAAGACATCCATAAGCTAATTAGTCAGGAAGAACTATCTATCAGGGGTCTTGATACTGTTCCTTATCAAAATATTTGTTCACTTGATTCTCTTCTTCCAGCCTCAAAAGTCACAGGGATGCCTGTGTAGAGATGGGCAGAGATGCTGGGCACTGTTCTAGTAGTTTTCTTTTCTTCTTAAAAAAAATATATTTATTGATTTTTTTTTTACAGAGAGGAAGAGAGAGGGATAGAGAGTTAGAAACATCGATGAGAGAGAATCATCAATCAGCTGCCTCCTCTACACCACCTACTGGGGATGTGTCCGCAACCAACGTACATGCCCTTGACCGGAATCGAACCTGGGACCTTTCGGTCTGCAGGCTGACACTCTATCCACTGGCCAAACTGGTTTCGGCTCTAGTAATTTTCTTTCTCCACTGCATAACCATTGCACACAGTTCAGAATATTAAATGCCAGCAGCAGCTTCAGATCTCAGCAGGGGCAGAGATGAGCAGGTGTGGATGTTGCATCGTGTCTACCCCTGGCCAGGTGCAGGGCTCAGATGTCCTGTGCACAGGCGCTGGGACACCTCATGAGCCATGCTGGCTAGCACAGTGCGGGGCGTGGGAGGCATGTGGATGTAGAAGAGTTCCTGGCACTTCTGACGTCACATTCCTTAGGCATCAGCATTTGGAACATTAAAAAAAAAAAGTCTTCAACTAGTAAGTTGTGAAGGTTTTATTTTCATGGAAAAGGTAAAGTATTTTTCATATTCTTATTTAGGTAGTATTAAACAAGGTTTTCAATACAACATAAAATAAAACTTTTATGACTTCCAATTGAATATCTATAGCTATTGGATTCTGCCTACAAGCAATTAAAAAAAAAAAAATACTGTACTTCTGGAAAATACATCTAGGGAGGACCACTAGATGGCAGTAGCAGAAAGAGCTCCGGTTAGTGTACAACTATACTTTCAACAATGAGGCTCCTATATTAAATTAAGCAGTACTGCTGTAGCATTTGACTATCTATAAACTACAAGCAAGCTTGATAAAATCATGAAAATATTAAGCAGTAGAAATCCACAAAAAACTGATTAACACTTATAGAAAACATTTTGCAACCTAAAGATGGGAGGGCATGCTTAAAACACAATAAACTATTTAGATAAAAACAGAAAAAGTAAATCATCTAGGCACTGTATTGGTAGTTAATCAAATGTTCTAATATTTGTTGTACAAATATAAACTTTTATGGTTAATAAAATCATTACATTTAGCTATTCCCTGGGGAAAACATAAGTTTTAGGATTTAAAGTAGGCAATGAAAGACATCGGGTGCATCATAAGCAAAAGTTTTAAGACTGAGGAAAGGCATAAAAGACAACGTAGAATGACAAAAAAACATTTCAAAGAAAGGAAATATGTATGTATTGGGAGTTAATGAGAGGAAAAAATGAAATGGGTGTTTTTCAAGATTTCTTAAGTGAGGGCAAAACTGGCTTGAATTTTAATTTTAAAAGAGAAGGAATTTAAAGTGGTAACAAATAATTATAACTACAGGACAGAGAAGAGAATGGATGTATATTACACCAGTAATAAAGACAGATTTAAAAAGATCCACTGGGATCATGTATTGTAGTTTGAGCCAGAAAGAGAATAGAAAAGGACACCCTTTAAGGATACAAAAGCAAAACACAATTGTTTTTAATGAGAGTTTAGGAGGGAGAAAAAGTCACATATTTTTTAGTGCAAAAGTCTGCTCTGGTTCCTATCTTGGAGAATCGCATTGACATCTTGTAACCCTCTCATTCATTATAGCAGCTGAGAGCAGAATTGGCCTTTGCATAGGATGTTAACGAAAGATGTACCAACATCATCCAGTGGCATTACTTCCGTATACTTTGCATATGTTCTTTTCCCTCCGAGCACATTACTCTATCATCTCTTTTTTATTTTATTTTAAAAATATATATTTTTATTGATTTCAGAGAAGAAGGGAGAAGGAGAGAGAGAAAAACATCAATGATGACAGAGACTCATTGATCAGCTGCCTCCTGCGTGCCCCCTACGGGGGATCCAGTTGGCAACCTGGACATGTTCCCCAACCACTGAGCCACAATGGCTTGACTACCATTTCATTTCTTTGCTTGGTTTTGTCTCCTAGTGCTTAGTTAAGTAACATCTTTATGTAAACATGAAAAAAAAAAAAAAAAACAACAACACACAAACAAACCACTTCAGGCTTCAGATTGGATTTACTGCTATTATATTAATTTAAGAAAATGTCTCAATACTAAAAATTCGATGTGCTTATTATGGTTCAACATTCATCTCATCATAAAATAAAAGCTAAGTAACAGTAAGTCTGAAAACTCTGCTACTAAGCCCAAGCTCTGCTTGAATTAACTTTAAAAATAAATAAAATTAAATAATTTGAAAGGCAATTCATCTTTATTCTTCACTTTTCCCCTAGCCCTTCAATTTTTGAAGGAAGCAATCTTATTTTTAACTGTCTTTTTTTTCCCTTTCCTTTCCTTCTATACTTTTAAGCATTTCACATTTTGGATTTATGAGTTTTGGATTGATGTTACTAAAATTACCATAGATTAAGTTTCTAAGATATGAAACTGGTTTCCTGTGTCTGAAAGTTCTGAAAGCCTTCCGTGATGTATGGGGTACATTCTTTTAGAAAGTATGAAGGAAAATTGCTTACACTTTCACTTTCAATAGGTTAATACTAGTTAATCCGCCTTCCCTCTAGGCTACTTATAGAGTACACCTCAGTGGCGCCAGCACTGTCTTGCTTATCTTAATTTGGGATTCTGAGCCTACGCAATTTACATTCACACAATATATCAAAATGTCTCTACTACCTTACTGCACACACTTAAGATACTTGAGTCACATGTGTGAATCTACTTATTATTGAAACAGAAGAGAAAAAAATAGTTGTCTAATTAATTGGCTTCAGTTCACGTGCTTAAACTTTTAAAGCAAAATTTAAAATCATAATTTAAGTGAACCCACATGTTTTTTAAGACCACCTTTGAAGGAAGTTGGTGTAATTAACAACATACCAACATACCCGTTTTGGAGAATGATGGAGAGAAGCTTAAAGCAGTTGTATCATGTGCCTTAGTAAGGTCATCAGCTCCAAGATTATCGCCATCTTATTTTAACTAAACTCTGTGGCCACTGAATACTGCTAAAGCAGGATCTGAACAGAGTGGAGGGGTCATACAGCCGTGGAAAACCCAGCTGGCTCTGACTGTTGGGGGACTGTCCTGTTTTGCTTTTGGAGGGGTGTCCCTTCTCTTGAAGGACATTTCAGGTAAAGAGACCTCTGAGATCGCAGTCCCACCCTGACCGCCGAGTACCCCTCCTCATGCCCTGGCTGTTTGCCCTCAACGGTGGATGGGGGCCCGATGAGGGGAGGTAGAAAGCGTTGAAGAACAGAGCCTGTAGGAAAGGAAGACCCTCTGTTGAAAAGGGCATTCTCTGCTTTCAATGGCGAATCATTATAGCTCTGCTAAGGAGCAAGTCTTAAAACATTATGCAATGTCGGCTTCTAGGTGTCCTCTCCAGTAGTGAAGCTAATGAAACACAGAAAATTGGAGAGAAATGCGGAGACTAAAAGTTTAAGAGCACAAAAGTGTGAGGACTTTGTTGCTGTTGGTGTTTTGTTCTGTCTGGGCTGGGAGAAAGGCAGGGGCCTGAAAGTCAGTGAGTGTCATCAGCCAGGAAGTGTGTCCTTCACACAGGCAGAGCCAGCTGTAGAAGGAGCGTGGAGGTGGGAAGGGAAGAGGAAAATGGAGCTGGGGAAGGAGGGCAGGGTGGAGGTGGGGGGAGGGGGAGGTAGACCGCCTGGAGAGAAGAGGTGGGGCCCTCCTGACTTAGCTAGGAAGTCAGGAATCCAGCTTCGAGGACCTCACACTCTGCTGCTGGTTTCAGGCCTCCCTGAAGCTCCCAGGAGCGGTCTCCTGGGCCATCTCTTGGCAATCCTCCTCAGAAATGCCAGCAGAGGGTGCATGCTGAAATGGATTAGAGGTTTACCTCCAGGCAATCTTCTCACCCTCTGAAGAACTTGCACTTGAAGTGGAATAATAAAGACACTTGAGCATTTTATATGGTTTTACAACTTGAAAAGACAAAAATTTTAAACATTTCAAAATACATGAACTTCTCATAGTTAATGAGCTGAATCTAATCAGTGATCGCAAATGAGGTTCATAGAAACTTAATCTGAGGACATTACTGCACAAATATAATTAGCAGTCATTGTCTCCATTTTAAAATATGATTCCACTACAAGATTCTCAGTTGGAATGATTATAGTTCTAGAACTTGAATTCCATCACTATGATTTTGAGTAGAGGTCTCTTCAACTGTTGCGATAGGTCATGATACGGACATTATATATTCCCAGGTTGAGAAAAAGCCTCTCTTTCACCACACTCAGGGCTGACACAGTTCAGTGTTCAAATACACACTCCACAGACAAGAGGGCCAGGGCTGGTGGAGGCTCCCTCGTTCCTGGGGCCGGCACATCATCCAGTTGACTATGACCAGGGAAACCTTGATTGCTAACCTCCAAATTTTGTATTGTAAAATAAGTTTACTTAAACTGAGTTCTTACCTTGAGCAAGTTGTCCAATTAGTTTTGAATCAAGCCCTTTCAACTCCATGAAATACTTAGCCTGAGGGTTATAAAACTGCAAGTAACATAAAGGTCCAGACAAGGTCTTTCCTGGTCACTTTTGTGTCCCCATCTAGCAGAGTGCCACATTGTGACACCTGGTAAATATTTGTTGAATTATCACTTAACAAATGAATAAGTGATAAATATTTATTGAATGAATGAATAAATAAATAATAGTAACAGGAAAAAAATGAGGCATAATTGTACATGTCTTAGTAGTTTGTTGTAAAGCTACTCAAGTGGTGAAAATACAAGGAAGGCTCAGAGCTTTAAACAACTAAGGATTTCTGTGAAGATTTGAATCAGAATATTCTAAGAAAGCATTTTCTCAACAGGAAAGACATTCAATACGTTATAATGATTATTATTTAAAATGTCAGTTATATTTTAAATTTAATTACTATCCAGCAGAATTTCTAGATTGGGCATCTTAACTCATTATCTAATTAACAAATTCACAATAAAGCAATTTTTATTTTTGTTGCCACTTCAAAATAACATTATTGTCAAAAAATGCTTTTTTAAAAACAGCTTTTACAGAAATAGCTGAATAGTTGAAGAAATCCTGATAAGTAGCTATTAGCCCATTTTACAGAAAAGTGAAGATAAGTGAGAATTCCGGGTCTAGCATAACCAGTCTTTTAAATACAAAAACATTTGTTTAGCACAGAAGGACAGGATAATTCAAACATGCAAGCAAATTCTGAGTCTTTCACAGGCCTTCTCACATCACAAAAGCATGAAATTGCCATGAACTTGGCTTAATATTAACAGTTGAGTGTAAAGAATTCACTTATAAGCACATGAATCATTTCTCCTAAATACAGTACGTGTAATTGATTAACACTGAAAATATATGAAAACTTTAATCACTATTAATGGATTGATCTGATTAGAACCTGCACCATCAATATCAGTTTATACGTCTTCAAAATACTATCTCAAACAATTTTGAGACATGAATACAAAATAAATAGGAGAAAAACAACTTTCATTTCATGGCATTATTTTAAAAAGTTTCCAAACTCTAAAGTTTGAAAACTCATTCATTGTTCTGAGCATCTTTTCCCTTAGCACTTCTAGAACCATTTGGCCTGTACTGTGATTGTATATTGGTTTATTTATCCTCCAATACTATAAGCTTATTGAGAGTAGGAACCAGACATTATTTATTTTTCCAACCTATTTCATACTTATGCTTCCTTCCCATCCTGAGTCCAGCTTCTTGCTGGGTGTAATTCAGTCTTCACGAATGAAGTTTGCTGTTCACCCAGTTAAAGCTTAAATAAAAATTTACTATGGGGGAGGTGTCAGCTTTATGAATATAATTCATCCACTGTAAGTACACATAACTCATGTTTTTTGGTATACTCACAGAGCTGGGCAACCATCACCACAGTCAACTTTAGAACATGATCATCATCCCAAAACGAAACCCCACACCCCTAGTTCTTTAGATGTCACTCCCCTGTCCCTGATCCCCCCCTCCCCCCCCGCCCACCTCGCCCTCTGCCCTGGGAAAACACTGATCTATTTTAAAATAGTTTCCTGCTTTCTTGATAGATGGGCATGTCATATGAATTGGATCATATAATATGTGCTAAAACTTACTTCTGAGCTAAAACCCAAACCACTGATTTAAATGTGTAAATCATCTTTTGTCACTTTCATTTGGCATGCCATATAATTCCACAATTTCCCCCCCCCTACTTATTGTTCTTTCCAAAACATATTTTTAAAAGGAAGAGATCTAGTCTTGTTTTCAGGAATATCTAAGTAATTTAGTTATTGATCTAATTTAAATGAGAAAATTTAAAAAATGTTCTGTGTTTTAATATTTTAACTTATAGCCATATAAAAGTGCAAATTCATACTTAGGGTCTTCAGATTTAGCATTCCCTTTAATTCCTTCACTGTTGCATCGATGTTTGTTAACTCATTGTGGTGCAGCATCAGTATATGCAATGAAGGCAAATAGTGCAGGCCTAAAAAATTTTTTTTACAAGATTTTAAATACTTTTAATGCTAATTAAACACAATAAAATAATACATTACAGTTGGTAAAAGAAAGAATTATTATCAATAATATTGTGAATTACCATTAAGAATAGAACAAAGCATAAGAATTCAATTAATTGAGTATAATGCGGGAATGTAGAATCCATTTCTTTTCAGTGTTTTTGCTTTATAGCTTTTTTTTTTCTATAGTAATGATTTTTTTGGTTTTATTTTAGAAGGGTTATTTTCTTTTTTGTTTTGTCCCGTTTTGCCAATGTTTCTTAGATTTATAATGCCAATCAAGGGAATACTCATTCAATTGAATATCTCTCCCCAAAGAAGAAAGTATTAGTCAGAGAACATATATGCATAACCCATAGAGACAGACAACCTTGTGGTGATGGTCAGAGGGAAGCAGGGGTAGGTTGGAGCTGGATGTAAGGGGAACATGGGGGGAATGGGAACACCTATCATACAGCCAACAATAAAATAGAAATTTTGCATAACTGCCCGAAATATTTTCTTTACATCACACAGAACCAAATACTCGTATAATTTGATTCTAAATTTAAAAATTTCCCACATTTTTAACATAAGTAAAAGTGGGTTGTATCTTTGGGATACATTATACCTTAATTGGCAGACTTTTCTTTCTTCATGGGACAGGGATATTAAAATTTGACATTTTGATTCTATTATACATAATATTAAAAAAAATGTTTTGTGTTGTACCTCTTCATATTTCATGAACATAGTACATCATGTATTTTTATACCTGGTTTGAAATTGTCAGTTTAGAGATTGTTACACATATACAATTAATTCATAATGAAAGAATTAATTCATAATGAAAGAATTCAAATTCAACAGGAATGTTAAAACAGATTTTTGCATGCCATTAGCAATGGCAAAGTTAAAAGTTATAACTTACTTGAAAACTCATTCAATGAGAAAATTTAGACATACCTTCAATGTCAATAATTGCATTGTTGTTTAGATACAATTCTGTCAGACAATAGTTTCTAGTTAGAAATGTTATTTCATGGAGCTGAAAATGAGAGTTAGAGAACAATTTACTTTCTACAATAATTACATATACATATAAAATTATAGTAAGACTAAAGGCCTGGTGCCTGACTAGTGATCAGGGCCCATCAGGGCCTTTTGGCTGCTGACAGGGGCCTTCCTCCATTCCACGCTGCCCCCTAGTGGTCAGCACATGTCATAGCGAGAGAATGAACTCCCAAAAGGACACTTTGCCTATCAGGCTTTTATGGATAATAGAAATTAGATGTTTGCTGTTATTTTTAGTTATTTGTGACCTTTGGTCTGGGCTATTAATTTACATCTGGATTGTCTTTGAAGATGGTATGGTAAAAAGGATGTTTTTAGAGAACTTGACATAAACTCCTCTTACCATATCTCAACCAAACTCCCTTGCATGGTTTCCAAAGCTTCTGTAAAAGGGCCTACCTAGACATTTTGCTCTAAAAACATTTCACACACATTCTGCCCCATACAGACTCATTGGATCTGGAAAGTATAGATAGTTGGAGTGCTAGTATTAAGGTAGTGCTATATTTTAAATGGGTTGGTAAGAGGAAACCTCAAAGAAGAGGTAATATTTGAACAAACTCTTTTTTATAATATGTTTTCATTGATTTCAGAGAGAGAAGGGGAGAGAGAGAGAGAGGGATAGAAACATCAATGAGAGAGAATCATTGATCGACTGCCTCCTGCTGGGATGGAGTCTGCTATTAGGCATATGCCCTGACTAGGAATTGAACCATGACCTTAGTGCTCAACAACTAAGCCACACTAGCTGACTAACTCTTGATGAAGGGGCATGCAAGAGGAGCACCAGGGGTCTAGCCAGTGTCCAGGCCAGGGACAGTACAGTGCCTGGTGTGGCTGGATCAGAGTGAGCCAGGAAGTGAAGTGAGGAATGAGGTCAGATGTCATCAGGGGTCTACTTGTGTGGGGCCTTGTGGGTTAGTGTAAGCAGTTGGCTGAAATTAACAGGAAATCATTGGAGGTTTGGAGCAGAGGAATAACATGTTTTGACTTAGGTTGCTATAGATCACTATGTCTACTGAATTGGCTGATTCTCAGGGGAGAACAATCTCTCCCCAACGGGTATTTGTCAATGTCTAGAAATATTTAAATTGTCACTTCTCTGGGGAAGTCTTCTAGGATATAGCAGGTAGAGGCCAGTGATGCTACTAAATATTAAAAAATACGCAGAACAGCCCCCACAATCAAGAATCAGCCAGTTCAAAAAGTCAGTGGTACCAAGGTTAACACCTAGGAGCAAAGAACTATAGATCAGTGATTAAACAATATGATAAAATTCTGAAAAATTCTATAATCATGTGGTATTCAAAAGGGTCTATTACTGTATATTTGAATAATGAATTTACATTATTTCCTAAATTTACATAAAACTAAGTATTAGTTGGGGAGAATTTTAACACTTTACACAATTACATAGGAGAAAAAAAGAAAAAGAAAAATTGTAATACATTTCCAAGATTCCTAAAATTATTTTCTTGGTTTTCCTACCCAGTTAATTAAAAAAAAGTTCATGTGTAGCTTGGTTTAAAGTATATACAATACTTAAAAATAGAATCTATACTTTAAAAATATACTTTAAAAATATTACAACTATTCAATCCAGTATAAACAGACTTTCATTCTCATGTTTTTTCCTATTTATTCCATGTTATAAAAATTTTTATATAAGCTCTTTTCCAAAAATAGGTTACATTCCTGAGATAAATCATTTTTTGAGATAAATCATTTTAAGAATAACCAAATATATAGTACACATATCTATGAATTTCACAACCATGCATTGAGATCTTATTTAGGTCATTTACCTTAACTTACTTTTTTTTGAGGAGGTTTTAAGTATTTGGCAAAATATGATTCTTTTAACAAAGTTGACATGAGGGATATAATTAATGTTGCCCCGGGGTAACAGAAACACATGAGAACCCAAATTATATGGAATGCACGCTAGTTTGTTTTATTCTTTTACAGGTCTTACACTCTACCATGGGATTTGTGCTACTCTAAATTTTTTTTAAAGGTAGGGTATATACAAATAAATAATTAAAATATGTATACCCAAACTTGATTAAAGGAACCAACTAAAATTCATGAGACAAAGCTCAGAAAATGAGCACTGCTATTGAAAGAATTCTTTGAGAATATTTAAAACAGCACATTAAAAATAAGTATTTCAATTTTAAAATTGTGGTTTACTAGACAAATAATCCTTCTTAAAACACATAAATATCTTCTCACTAGCAAATTTTTAATATGTACTAAATGTCTGGGAGATGAAAAATGGCATTATCATAAGCTCAGGATCTTTCTCAGGGCAATTTTGTTTACTTCATTCTAGTCATTATCTAGTCAGCTTGTGTGAAAAATGTTATTATAAATAAGTATTTCAATTATTTTTCAGATAATGAAGTTTATAAACAATGACTTTGCTAGAAGACTTTGCATTTTCATTTAAATTTAGTTTGTAAACTTTGTCAACTGGTTTTTGCTACAGGGAAGAAACTCAGATTCCATTTTGAACAGTTGCATGGTAAGGCATCATGCAGGTTTTTTTATTTGTTTGTTTGCTTTTTTAATCAAAAGCTTATTCTAATCTGAGCCAAATGAAACTACCAAAGTACTGCTGGTTCTTCCAGAAATAGAAAAATATTAGCATTGTGCCAGCAATATTACAGGCTTATTATTAAATAGCTGAAAAAATTTTTGAGGTAATGAACCAGAACACAACTTAATTGCAGTATAAAAGACAAATAAATCACTCAGATCAATTGGCTGAGCAGACTCAACTTCTTATGAAGAGTTGGAAGGGATAAATAGGACCGAAAATTGCCTCTCTCAGGCCCACCAGAAGATGGGCCATGAAAGGGAGTCTTGAGAAGACCCGAGTGCAGTTGTCTCCCACTCATCCAACCGGGCGAGGTTAGAAAAATGTGACCCATAAAGGGAAGAGGAGCAGAACTAGTGAACACCTATGCGGTGTGAGGGGAAAACCAGCCCTCGGGGAGCATGATGAAGGAACCAGAGTCACCTGAGCAAACCTAGGAAAGCTGGGGCATTGGGGGTCCTTAGAAACAACATGTACCTATTTAGTTTGCTAGTTCAGGGTCAGACAAGAGTGTTTATCATCCACTAGATATTAGGGGAGAAGTATTCACCCGTCTAGTATGCAGGGCTCCAAACACAGCAGGCTACAGTCATTGCATCCCAAGACAACTGCTTTCTCTCATTCCACTCTGCGCAGTTTGCAAATGCAATGTCCTCATCAGCCACTCCCTGTGCACTTCCTGTTTTTATCACTAGAGCAGGTACCCTCCACATTTATTGTTATATTAGAGGACTGGTGCATGAAGTCATGCATGGTACAGTGCCTAGGCACCACAGATGGGGAATCTGGACTTTGGTCAGGGTCAGATTCCCCATCTGTCAGCGGACAGGCTTGCCTCCCGCTGCCACCCACCTGGGATCCCAATTTGCCACTGGGCGATGGGAGCATGACAGCCTGGAGGAGGGACCGAGGGGTCAGCTGTCCCCCCTCCCCCTGCTTGTGTCCCAACTCCTGCTGCAGGTCAGCCTCTGTGAGGGGCGACTCATGGGGTGGGGGCCTTGCTTGGCACATCCCGCATCCCCCACCACTCATTCTGGTTTCCCATTTGCCAACCAAAGATCAGGGCCTGCTGGCAGGGTGGGGAGAGAGTAGCGGGGGAGGGACTAAGAGGTGGTCAGTGCACCTCATAGTGACTGGTTGAGCAGTCATTCTGGTTGTTCGGCTGTTATGGTTGTTAAGCTTTTATTATATAGGATTCTATCAATGGCCTAAATGCAAAGTACAGAATAAGCTGTAGCATATCTGGCTCCTGGCTCTAAATAACTTCTAAACGCAAGTCATAACGATATGTAAATTGGAACATATATTTATATTACACACCAGGAAGTCTAGAGCTTGTGAGAGCCTCAGTCTTAGTCTTTCAGTGATTCTCTGGGCTTTGCTTTTCTCTCAATGTTGGATTCATTTTCAAGTTAGCAGGATGATTCCTGGATCATATCCAGGCAAGAAGATATCCAGAGGAAACAAAGGCCCTCTGAGGAAGTACTATCAATAGCTAAATATGCCCATTAGAGTTTTGTACCTTGAAGAAAATTTTAATTTTTCATGGTGTGGTAACTTAGCAACCAGTAAGCTATTGATCAATAGGAAGACTCACAACAGCTTATTCACTTAGCCACAACCACTTAAAACTTATTTTGGGTATTCTCTCCTTTCAAAGTGTTATGTGGGCTAAATAAGTATTTTTTAAAAAAGATTTTCAATTGATTTTAGAGAGAGAGGAAGGGAGAGGGAGAGAGAGGTAGAAACATCAATAAGAGAGAAACATGAGAAACATCCATCAGTTGCCTCCTGCACTCCCCCCCTGCTGGGGATTGAGCCTGCAACCTAGGTATGTCCCCTGACCGGGAGTCAAACCTGTGACCTCCTGGTGCATGGGTCTAAAAACAAAGTTAACTGATGGAAATTTTGGAAATAAAATAGCTAGTTTGTTGAACATAAAGAATCAAGTACAAAAAATGAATATTGCCTATTGTCACATCCCTTCCCTGCCAATGTCCCTTCAAAAACAAAAGAAAGTAAATTAGTTGACAGTATACACAGTCCCTTCCTATGTATATACGTATCTGCCAGTCAACTGCCTGAACATTCAATGATTGGTTGGAAGTGGGATGGCGTCTACTACCAGAACACACACACACAAAATATTACAAAATCCCTAATCACCTCTCTCTTTAGACCTATTGCCAACATCTGTACATGTTATTTCCTTTAAAACTGAACACCACAAGGAGCACACATGAGAAACAAAGATTAGTCACTTTTGCCATGCCTTGTGATTTCCATCTTTTTCTCATCAGAGGTCGCCCACTGTGACCCAGGATAGTTTTTGGCAGAGAGCTATAAAGCCTTTTGAACTTGTACGTCCTTAAGTGCAAGTACTTTCCATTTCAGTCGTTAGCTGGCTGACTCTCAAAGCTATTTGTGTTTGTTCTTCTAGAAATCGTTTCAAACTTATGAGACTTGTGCTTACACTTAATACTAGAAGCTCTTTCATTTTCCATTTAGTTGATTTTGAAAAAAGACTGGAAATGCAATGTGATATTGAAGTATTTTCATAAACATGGCTGCCTCAGGATTCAAAGCTGTGAGTCTGAACTCCTGCTTGACAACCACACTATTGCTGAAAACTCAAAAAACATTCTTTTTATTCAGCTGGCATTTGAAAGTCTAAATTCAAAATGCTAAGATGGTATAATGGATTTACAACGAGTAAAATAAAAACTGCTGGGAACTCACATTTTTGAAAGTTGAGAATAAACAACTTACTGACCAGCTAACTGTAATGATTGGGTCTGCACTTAGGTTCAGTCTTACTTTTTGGCTTGGAGATGGCTGAGAGCTCCCCAGGCACCCACTCTGGGGAAGGCGGTGGCCTCCTAAATGCTTGTCTCTAAGAGAAGATAGAGGGCCCACACTCAGCGTCCTTGAAGGGTGTCCCTGCAGTTGGGGACACAGTAGCTTAATGCTTAGCACTTACTGAGGAGGCTAGATCAGCATGGGTAGCAACCGGGAGGTAACCCACTCCTTCGCCTCTGACAGCAGGACAAAGGTGTGTGGGCGCTGGGGATTGCATGGGAGACCGTGGTAGGAATATTGATCTGAGGCACTTTACAAGAGACCCTGCCCAAGAGGGTGCTTTGTGAAGGCCAGGAGACAGTCAGTTGTAAGTACCACTAGGATAAAGGCGAGGGGCGGTCAGAAGTGGCCAGCAGAGAGGAATTACAGTTGGAGTAACCTAGTAGGGAGGCTCCTGAATAACCCATCAAGAGAAAAAGCTCTTTCTCTCTCTCTCTCTCTCTCTCTCTCTCTCTCTCTCTCTCTCTCTCTCTCTCTCTCTCTCTTTTTTTTTTTTTTTTTTTTTTTTTTTTTAGTACCAGAGGGTGCAAATCAAATAACTTTCTCCCTCGCCTTTCCTCTACCTTCACATCACCCCATTCCTAGAGATTCCATACCAAACCTAGAGAAGATTAGGGTGAAGGTGAGAAGGAAAGAACATCCACCACACCTCCTTAGCTGATAAAGAAAGCAGGTGGCACTCTGCCATCAGGCTGAGCTGGCTATGGGAGGGAAGGTGAGGGGCTCTCATTTATGAGTGAAGATCAAAAGTTGATTAACCTATTCTTCTAGACATTCTTATTTCCAAACTGTGACTATAATTCAAATGAGCTGTAAGATTTCTGATGACATAGCAGAGGTGAGAAAAGCCCTGGGACTGGAAGGAAGGGCCTCCTCCGAGCAGCTTTGATAGGACATGGAGACACAGCAGTTGTGGTGTAAGAACATCTCGCAACCTGCGCTGTTCATGATGCATGCCTACATGCTTGTAAACTGTCTCACCTACATTTAAGTTAGGTATAGAAAATTAATGCTTTTAAAGATTAACTCTATGAAAACATGATAGTAACTTAATTCCAGAGACCTTTAAAGATAAAATATAATGTTACCTTGTTATGATGTAGCCATAAGTATTTTAATTTTCTAAACCTAGAAAGATCAATAACATCTGTCAGCTCCCTGAAAAAGAAAAAAAAAAGTAAATATTAGCAATGATTAATTCAATTGTAGGTGAGGCAGGATATATAGTATGACTTTGGAGTAACTGAATAAATGTCTTTCTTTGTCCTTTCAAAATTATTGGCACATGTTCATTTCCAAACTTCCATTTTTAATACTTTGTTCATTTGGATTAAGATTTTGTTAGTCAGCCGAAACTGTTTGGCTCAGTGGTAGAGCATCGGTCCCAGGTTCAATTCCGGACAGGGGCATTTATGTTGGTTGCGGGCACATCCCCGGTAGGGGGTGTGCAACAGGCAGCTGGTCGATGTTTCTCTCTCCTCGACGTTTCTAGCTCTCTATCTCTCTCCCTTCCTCTCTGTAAAAAATCAATAAAATATATTTAAAAAAATTACAATGGAACTTAAAAAAAAGATTTTGTTAGTTAAAACAAATACTTATAGAGGAGCATTTTATCACATTTTAGAAATTTATACCTCAGTATGATTTAATTTATTGAAATCTCAATTAAAAAAAATTTACTGGGGAGACGGGAAAGGGATAGAAGGGCAGCAGGCACTGACTCACAGGTAAACGTGGAAAATGCCATTAGCTCCTGCTTCAACAGTGTCTGCCGGCTCCTTGCTTTCGGTTTGTCCAGATCTTGGCTAGACTGGGTTTAAGATATGGAGGCTGCAGTGCACCAACAGACTGAGACAGAGTAAAGTGTTTATTCTCCCTTTGTTGTTTATTGAATCCTAGAGGCCAGATGCACGAAATGCATGCAAGGGGCCTGGCACTTGCAGCCCCGGCTGCCTGGGCTGGCCCTCGCAGCCCTGGCTTTGTCTGGAAGGTTGTCCGGAAGGACACATGGAAGGTTGTTCGGCTGTTCAGCCTAATTAGCACATTATCTCTTTATTATGTAGGATGAGGTCAAAATATTGCCCATCCTTCTTGAACTAGGCCTTGTTGCTGTGCAGCTCACTCAGCTAAGGGACAGACATGGGTGTGGGTGGGGAGCTGTCAGCAAAGAGGGCAAAGTTTCTGAGTGACTGCTGTGGGCTGGGGTATTCGGATGTCTTCTAATTCTCAGGGCAGAAATTGTGGACCCATGCTGAGTATGTATGTATACACACATGTCTCTATTTATCACACGTGTATAGAGCATACCCTGTGTGCCAGGCACTTTTCTAAGCAATTTAAAAACATTAATGTTAATTAATATTACTACATTAACTCATGTGGCAACACACTTTCACATTTATATTTCTTTAACCTTGCGACACTGAGGGACTAATTATTTTCCTAATTTTTTAAGCAAATATATTTGTTAAATCATGAAACATTTCTAAACAAGAGAAGTCCCACTCATCAAATTTTTATATTGAAAACTTTCAAATCTAAGAAAAGATGAAGGAATAACATAATGAATGCTTACATTGCACGTATAGTTTATAAAGTTTTGCCAATCATTCTCTCTTACCTATATAATATATCTACTTATTGGTTGGTTATTTTCTGGGGGAATCACTTGAAAATAAATTGCATACTTATTATTGTAGGGCTCTCACGCCTAAATTCTTCATGCACATCCCTTAAATAAGGACATTCTCCTGTATAACTACAATACCATTATCACGCTTAAGAAGATGAAATTGAATTCATTAATATCATCTAATATAATGTTCATATTCGAACTGTCTCTGTTGCTGCCTATATTTTATAGTTTGTTTAAATCCACAATTCTATCAACACTCATGTTTTTTCAGTTAATATAATCCTTAGTCTTAAATTTAGGACAGCCGCTTTCCTTTTTCCCCCTTAACATTGACTTTTTGAAGAGTTCAGGACAGCTGTATGATAGAATGTCTCACATTATTGATTTGCCTGATTACTTCCTCATGATTAAATCTAAGTTAGACCATTTTTTCTGTAACAAAGGTGGTAATTACTGCATCACACTGGAGACAAATGCTGCTGCTTGTCCTGTTGGTGAAGCTAAAAGGTCAGTCACTGGGCTAAGCTTGTATCTGCCAGGTCTCTCCACTATAAAAAGTACTCACTTTATCATTGAATAGTAATATGTGGGGCAAAACTCAGAGACTATGCATATACCTCATTACTTAATAACTATTTATTCAAAGGGCTTAGCTTCTCTGGGTAACTTTTGCCTGAATCAGTAGATTTGGTAAGGGGACAGAAATAGGGTTAGGGTTAGGGTTAGGCCTTGGGTACCGTGGCCGCTTTCCTCCCTAGATGCTCTGCAAGGAAGAAATAACATAAAGGAGGCCACCAGTTGGCTCCTGACAACTAGCACGAATGTCAGGAAATGTCAGCGGGATGGATCCCGGGCTGGCAAGGGTGTCCCACCACTTGCTCGGAGGGCCGATTGTGTCTCAGGCCACCCCCTTCCCAGACCCCATCCAAGCATGAATTTGCACACTGGGCCTCTAGTTCATATATAATTGTATATCCCATAGTTTAATTTGCTAAACCTGACAAAGATCACCCAGATGGGAGAGGCAGAACTGGGGTTTAAACTTAGTTGGCTCCCTAATCTTGTTCTTAGCCATTCCGATGTGCTGCCTCTCCAATAGAGACTGTAATCCAATAAGTGGTAAAGTAATCAGAGTGTGGTATTTTCCCATCCAGTTTTTGGCATGGGGGTAAAGCGGGTGAGGGAGGACTGGAAAAGAACATTTGAATCTGTGAAACATTATAATGGATGCTTTTCTATTTCTTACCTAAAGTACACTTACTTTTTAGAAAGGAACAGCTCAAGGACATCAGCATCCCTCTTGTGGCCACATATCTTTAGTTGATCTTCAATTGCCTGATAACATATAATTACTCTGTCAAGGCACATTCCACTGAGCAAAAATACGGAGACATTTGAAGTCAATAACAATAAGGTCTACAAGAAGATCAAAGGAAAAGTGAATATGGAAGCAACCACTCTAAACTGATAAATTCCAACACTACAATTATATATTATTTAATCATTTTTGTGGTTGAATTTCATTATCCTTCATCCTGGGCACAGATGTGTTAAATAATTTTTAATCAAAGAGAAAAAAATGTGTATGTGTACATATACTCCAAAAACAAGTTTTCATTTCTCTATGAGGTAGATTGATTTAGTCTTTAAATATTCTTTTTTTAAAATATATTTTATTGTTTTTTTTCAGAGAGGAAGAGAGAGGGATAGAGAGTTAGAAACATCGATGAGAGAGAAACATCGATCAGCTGCCTCCTGCACACCCCTACTGGGGATGTGCCCTCAACCAACGTACATGCCCTTGACCAGAATCGAACCCTGGACCTTTCAGTCCACAGGCCGACGCTCTATCCACTGAGTCAAACCGGTTTTGGCATCTTTAAATATTCTTAAATGTTCCTTCAACACAAAGAATTTATATTTGGTAGGTTTTCCATATTTATAGAAGACAGGCAATATCAAGGTTGGAGGTGAAGGGAGTAGACTATAATGTACATTATCATACAGATGCTTGGCACTCTGTAAAATCTCAATAAGTGTCACAAAAATGAATGAACAGTGAATAAATGTCACTGCCCTTTCTCTGTAAAGAAATTATGTATTCAATTTTCATGAATTGATAACATCTTGCACCGTGGGAATTTTTGATGAAGAAGAAGCGATTTTTATTCCCATAGACTTTGTTTTGAAAATACAAATCCAACAACAACTAGTTAGGTACTTTGCTTTTTCTTTTGTGGTCCTTTGCTAAATTATAAAATAACATTTATAGGCCACATGGCCTAAGATGATATGGAAAAATTAAGGCCTGTCTATAATTTTCTATGAAGGACTAAACCTAACAAGACACAACAAGAGTGAAAAGTATAGTCATTGCACTTCTGGACTCTGACAAACATGGTAATTATCAGAGTCAAAACAATCACCAAATTTCAGCTGGGATTTGTTGTGGGTGGTGAGGTTGTAATGTCAGTAAGTGATTTATGAGGTTTTGACAATGGTTTTGTTATTTGGTAGAGGACTTTAAGAGGAGTGAGATTTAATGGGATGAACACATATCTAAAGGAGTGATGAAGGTAGATATCCCAGAGACAGGGGACAGCTGCTAATTTATAATCCCAAACTTTCTTAGTTCCCCTATTATGCAGGCGGGATCTTGAGGCTTAGAGAAATCATTGGCTCAGATATAGGCATTTCCATCAAGGTATTTTGTTACTCTAACAAATTTGTATTTTGAATCTGGGAATTGGAAAAACCCAATACATCAGGCTTACACATCTTTATCTGGGTACTTTAACTGAAATATCTAAACCTTCAGGTTATATATGGTCAATTGCAACTTTGCCAAAATATTTGGGATGTTAAAGGCCAGCCAAGGTAGAATTAAAATTTAGTAGCTACCTATTAAAATTATAAATGTGCTTTTAACTTGATCCCATCATTCCACATGTAATACTCAGAAACACAGCGGTACACACACACACACACACACACACACACACACACACACACAAATTTAAATACCATTGCTCTCCTCAGCATACATTATCAGAATTATGATATCTACCCCATTAATTGGAATATAGTTTAAATTAAGGTGGAGATTCACAATAGAATACTGCACAGTAGCTTAATATAAAGAGATGGATATCTGATTACATGATAATATTAGAAGCATATTTTTAAGTAACAATGCCATTGACAGGATACATGAAAGAAAAATGATATTTTCATCATTAATGACATTTATATGCACATAACATACACACACTCCCAATTGTAAACAACAAATCACTTGAGATCATGGGAAACGTACATTTTCTAAACAATATACATTTTAATAATGTTTGAATATTTTATAATAAGCACATATTCGTTTAGCCATCAGAGATTAATACACATTTTTAAAAAGTTTAGCCATCGAATGATTATTTAAAAAAAAATATATATTTTATTGATTTTTTACAGACAGGAAGGGAGAAAGAGAGTTAGAAACATTGATACGAGAGAAACATCAATCAGCTGCCTCCTGCACACCCCCACTGGGGATCTGCCCTCAACCAAGGTACATGCCCTTGACCGGAATCGAACCTGGGACCCTTCAGTCCACAGGCTGATGCTCTATCCGGTTTTGACCATCGAATGATTATTTAAGGATTTAAATTAAGTTTGGAAATCAAGAGATGAAAAGGGAAATTGAAACAATCAGCATAATTCAGAAACCACTGGCGTAATCAATTATTTATTTACACAAATTTTGATCACGATATGCTTCTTTCCAACCAAAAATTTTCTATGAGTCTGAATCCTGTATTAATGCCAAAGTGCCAAAGAACATAAAGACCAGCCAAAAGGTCTCAGGTTTCAGTGACTCTGAGGTGGAACAGCTCCAATTCCCAATCAACACACAACTTCATTAGTGGGATATTCCTTTCATCTAAAGAAGCACAACAAGCATTCTTCCCCTGAGATAGGGTTTTTTTTTTATTGTGGTAAAACATACATAATATAGAACTTACTATTTTAACCCTATAGTTCAGCACATTCGCATGGCTGTGCAACCATCTCCACCATCCATTCCCAGAAACTTTTCACCTTCTCAAATGAAACTCTGCACCCAAAAAACACTAACTCCGCATTTGCTCCCTCCCTACCCCCTGGCAACCACCCTCTACTTCCCTTCCCTATGAATTTGACTGCGCTGGGTACCCCATGTCAGTGGAAGGAATCACAGGTTTTTCTCCTTTTTGTGACTGGCTTATTTCACTTAGCATAATGTCTTCAAGAATCATCTATGTTGTAGTGTGTGTCAGAACTTCCTTCTTTGTTAAGGCTGGATGATATTCCACTGCACGTATGAACTACACCTTATCTGCCCATTTATCCATCAAATGCTGCAAAGGAAGGTTGTCAGTGTTAAGGGCTCTGACAAAAAGAAAATATGCTCTGGTGAATTTAGCCTGGGCACGCTGAGATTTCAGTTGGAGGTGGGGGGGCTTGAAGGGGTGAGGAGAAATGAGAACTAGAGTATTGATGGGCGGATGTTTTAGTCAGAGGGAAGTAATTACACAAGATGTGGGGAAGAGAATTTGAAGAGTGCAGGCTGTGCAGCTTTTGGCTACAATGAAAGGCACATGGAAGACAACTGTGAGAAATAAATTAAGAAAGATGACTTGGGGTATATTATTTGTGCTAACTTTAAAATTTAAGCTCAGAGAGTATACTAAGTGTGCAAGCAAAACTTTATAGGCTTAAGAACTCTGACTTACAATCACATAGTTGATGTCATTTTATCATTTAAAATTAATTTCATTTTATGATATACATATACATACATATATATACGCACACACATGAAATATTTATACTAACTGCATGGTTAAATCAGTGTTAAGTCTAACAAGATTCTGATTTTTACAAAGACAACTACATCAATGCTTTTAACAATATTCATTATCAAGTTATTTTAAAATTACTGGACTCAATTCTGGGGTTATAGGGAAATCGGACAGGATTTTTAAACTCGAGAAAAAAAGGTGAAAAGAAAAAAAAACCAAACACACAAAACTAGGCCCTAGGAAGATGATTTGCAGTGACATGTACGATGGCCTCAGGTGCAGAGAAGTGCAGACAGGAAGCAAGGCCGCCTCCGGAAAATCAAAGCGAGAGCGACAAGCCTGCCCTAGGATAGTGGCAAGTGGGGATAGCTGTGAACAGCTCTGGCGTGGGGTGTGCAGAGGGAGCGGAGGAGAACTGGCAAGTAGCTGGAGGTGGAGAATAAGGCCAGGGGAGTCATAGGTGATGATGGTGATGTGATAACATGGCTATGATAAAGGTGACTGTTAGAGAGGACAAATTTGGCCTGAAAATGCTGGGACCGAGGGGCTGGTGGAACAAACAGGCTAAGGTGTCTAGCGGAGAGCTGCAAGTGGACAAGGGGATCTCACCAGAGATCTGAGTAAGTACAGCCTGGCGAGTCAGGTCAGCCCAGAGGAGAGAGGGGGCCCCAGATAAGATTATTGTGCAGAATCTGCCTTTAGAAAGTGGAGGAGGGAGGTAAGTTTGGTTAAGGGGACAGAAGAGGGACGGTTGTAGAGTTAGTAGGAGAAAGAAAAAGACCGTAGGAGCTGAGACAGTGAATTTCAAGAAGGCAGAATTTGAACCTGTAAGTTGCATAGGGTGCAGGAGGATATTACCCAGGAAAGGTATTGAATTTGTGGAGCAATTTCAGTAACCTGATGAGGGGGAATAGTCAGATTTCAGATGAATTGGTTAATAGGCCAGTGGAAAACAACAACAACAATCCAACACAGAATTGGGGTGTGGGCAGTTCCAGGACGGGGAGGATGGCAGCAGCCTCCTCCACTGCCTGACACCTTAGGATCTAGAGAAAACAGAAAAAAGTTAGAAAGTTGTGGGCTTTTTACAATCTATAGAAGGAACTATCCTCTGGCGATTTTCGTACTGCAATGATGAAGTCCTATACCTTCACACACCACAGGATAGCTAGGGCTTAGCCTTCAGCTCATCACAGAACTCTGGGCTTGGTGCTCATCGGAGTCCCCAGCCCTTGCAGACAAGTCCCAGAACTCCAGAACGCTGGGCTAGCTCCCATGTTGCATATATATATATATATATATATATATATATATATATATATATATATATATTTTTTTTTTTACATTTTTCCTCACTCCAGTTTATTCTTTAAGACATTATCTTAACCACCTTCAACTCTTGTTTGTATGATTCCCAACCTTCCCTCCTCAGTTTACACTTTAGGGGGACAACATATATATGTGGATATATATAGACTTACTCTGACCAACATTATATATATATATAAATTTATATATATATATATATATATAAATAAAATGTTGGTCAGAGTAAGTCTATATATATCCACATACACGACCAACATTATATATATATATATATATATATATATATATATATATATATATATAAATTTATATATATATATAAAATGTTGGTCAGAGTAAGTCTATATATATCCACATACACAGCCAAATTTATGGCTCTGTTACCCCATTTCTAAACCGCCATAAATATGTATGCAGCAGGTGGTAAGTAGAAGGGGTCAGAGTAAGTCTGCTGGTGTGTATCAGGGGCAGCCTCCAATCCTCAGTGGAAGTGTGGGGTCCCCAGTGCTCCACCCCCTCCGCCACAGACCCCTGGGGCAGCCTCAGGCTGGCCGGGGCCTTGGGAGAAGGACCCGAGGGGCTCTTGGTCGGGGAAAGAGGTGCCCCTGACCTTCTGGCTGATCTTCAGGGCATGTTCTGGAGCCCTTGCTAGACTCGAGGGGAGTCGGGAGGAGCGGGTCTGATAGTTCAGGTCCCAGGCCATCAGGACGCCCCGGGCGGCCAGCGGCACCCAGGATTGACCAGTCTGGTCCGCGGCTCATTGTTACCCCTGTTACCAACAGTTACCACCAGCTCTCGGACTAACCAGGGAAGATTTGAAGCCAAATCCTGACTTCTGTGACGTTTGCACGTGGGGTCCTTTGCAGCCCCCACTACGTGGTGGTTTCCTTCCTGCGCGCGGTGCTTCTGCGGGTGGCGCAGAGCGAGTGGTCAGCTACGCCAGAGGGGGTCAGAGGACCCCACAGGCAGCCACCCTCCCCCAATACTAACACTTTTTATTGATTTGAGAGCAGAGTATCAGAAAATTAAGGTTCTTAACCTTAGATGTGCCTGGTGACCACCAGTCACGTGTGGAGGGTAGGGGTGATGGAATCCTAATGGAACGTGAGACAAAAAGGAAAAAAAAGTAAGTTCTGTTGATCCTGTCTTTACTTAAAATTTTGAAGTTCCTTCATCATGGATGTTTTGCAAAAACATTGCGTTAAGGTGTATTTTCCTGATTTTTGTGTGCGACGCCTTACATTTTTGTAAGGCCAGAGCCTCGCCCTAGACCCAGCCCTGGGATGGAGATAGGAGTATCCAGGCACCCCTAGGCTCCAGGTGCCCGGGAAAAAAAAGAACACTTTGCTGACTTGGTTGACAGCAATAAGCACATATTGGTTCAGTAGCTGAGCAGGCCTTCCTCTGGCAGAAAATGGGTTCGATAAGCCAGTATTTATGGAGACTTGCTGTCTCCCCAAGTTCAATTGGTACCTCCAGCACAAGCTATCTTATGATCTTATTTTATATGAACTTGGTTCCCCTCTCGCTTGGGAAACTTTGGAGGCAGGATTCTGTCCGTGCCATCGCTATCTTCTGTCAGGGACTAACACACTGCATTCCATAATTGTTGATTCAATGGTACCAGTTGGCTTCTTGGTTCCCAATTTGAACTTGAAACCTAAGAATTAAATACAGCTTTTAAAAATGAATCAGGTCCTAACAAGTTTGGCTCAGTGGATAGAGCATCGACCTGCGGACTGGAGGGTCCTGGGTTCGATTCCGGTCAAGGCCATGTACCTTGGTTGCGGGCACAGTGCAGGAGGCAGATCATCGATGTTTCTCTCTCATTGATGTTTCTGACTCTCTATATCTCTCCCTTCCTCTCTGTAAAAAATCAATAAAATATATTTTTAAATAAAATATATTTAAAAATCAATAAAATATATTAAAAAAAATAAAATCAATAAAATATATTTTTAAAAATAAAATCAATAAAATGTATTTTTTAAAAAATAAAAATTCTGGTGTTAGAATAGAGCATCAAAAATATGTCACTGGAGAAATCAAGCACACACTATTTTAGTACTTCCAAAAATATTTCAGCTTGGTAGAACTGGGACGGTAAAAGTACAACATGTCACTGTGGAGAGAGTAATAATCTGAAAACTACTATTTAACTGGTTTTTATCTCATAAATAAAAATCAAATAAGAGGAATGGTCCACTAAGAAAAATGTATAAGATAATTTACTGGTCTTTTGTCTCTCATTTTTTATGTTAATATGTGTTACAACATTTCATATATCACTCATAAATATGCTACATGGAAACATGGAAATATATAGTACTTGATCAATTTCATTCATACACAAATGTGAGTTTCAGAATCATGCAAAAATACTTTTAGAGAGCCTTTTACTACTAACCAGCTGATTTCTACTAAAATCACATTAAAATTTTAGCCTTGACTTTTTGTTTAAATCCTTAAAATTTATACTAATTAAGAAGAGAAAAAAACAAACAAACAAATAAACAAATCCAGCTCTGTTTTGAAGAAAATAACTCATTTTTATAAGGTCTTCATGTGTCCCATCTCCCCCCAAAATTACAATTTAACTGATCATGAGGACTAAAATAATGCAAATTTAACTATGGGATGTGAAAAATGGAGGTCAGGGAAGGTACTTTTTGGCTGAAAGATCCTTCCTATACATCCTCACAGTGATGGTACACAATTTTTACAAAAGAAGCATCCCAGGTAGAGTGAGCAGAGAGAACGTTTACCTCCATGTGGTGGGATTATGGCCTGAGGAATCCAGCCTGAAATTTTAAAAATTCATGTAAAAGGTACATTCTCCTTTACAATCAATCTTGTTTTAATATAAAAATAAAATGGTCTCCCCTTACCTCCCCTCCCCCCTCCGCTCCCCACCAATTCCCCTCCAATCTTTGAGCAATATTTACACTGAAGCAAGACACCCTGTGTTTATCCTGTGGCTTTGCCTCGCTGGCACGCCGCCACTGCCTGCAGGGGTATGCATACCCCAGTTTGAAAGCTCTAGCATATCGTGGATGTGGATTTGGAAAAGAAGAAAGAGCTTGTGCTCCAAGTCAGGACATTTGGGGTTTAGTCTCAGCTATGACATTAACTCGTTGTTGGCCACCTTTGAGTCACTGAATGTCTCTGGTCCTCAGTTTCTTCAGTAGTAAAATTGAGAAGTTGGAAGGTTAGCTCAAAAAAAAAAAATCTATTATTTAATTATAGTTTCCTAGAAATGTGGTATTGTTCACAGAGTAGAAGATTTCTTGCTGAGATGTTGACATGTAATCGTTTTTTAAAAATAATTTCCCAGTGAAAAATGTATGAGGAAAAAAATGTGCATATGATAGCTATCATTAAAACCACATTTTTAAAAACTCTCTTTCAATTTCAATGACAATTCCAGTCATCAGTCTGGATATTATTTTTCTAAGTGAGTAAAAAATATCTATTAGATAAAATAATAATTATCAGCCATTGTCTACCATGTAGAAGGAGCATAGAATGAGTAATATCTCAGCCACCATAAAATCCTCTTACATGCAAAGAAAGGTGAATCTTTTTAAGTCATTTGATGACCACAGCATCAACATTTTCATTGTTTTAAATTTAAATAAAATATGTTAATTACAGCTATCGTTTTATTTGTCTGTTTACACAAAATGACAATGACATTGGAATGCTGGGAATTCATGGAATTCTCTATGAGCCTTTCATGTTACTGCACATCTTAGGAGCACAGGCAGTGACTGCCTTTTTCAGACTGTGTTTCAGGATATTTGTGTAGTGAACATGCTTGGAGGGTAGAGACAGTGTCTTGGAAGGATGGATGCTTTTTGTGTTTTGTTTTTGATTGTGCAGCATAATAAAGATAATGTCTCTCTCCTTTATCATAAAGATAAGGCCAGGCAGGCTTACTGACAGATTAGGATAAACTTCTATCAATAACTCATCAAGTCTAAATTAAGCAAAGTGAGAGAAAGGTTAGTAATTTCAATGACTTCATGCAATGAAATCTTACAATAAAAATAATTTTCATGACTTATATGACTTTCCCACCCAGTACCATCTCTAATTTCTGATAATGGACCTTCTTTCCTGGGCTCCATGATGTAGAGAGTCCTGTTAAGGTCGTCCTTTGGACTCAAACCCCATCACCTCCACCATTCCATGGAACAAGTGGATGGACCCACGTGGAGATCTTGCCACCTCACCTTTTTCACACTCTATAACAAGGGGAGCACGGCTGGGCATGTGCTCCCCTCGGCTCAAGGGATAGTCAAAGAGTGGCTGTCTGGGGTGATAGGCAGAGCTTAGACATGGGGGGCTCATTGTACTTGGGAGAAAATGTAAAATCACAGATTTGGAATTCAAAACTATATTATTTGGTTAAGCTGTGGTTCTGTCTTGAGATTTCTAGCTATTCCAGACAGTAAAAGAATGTTTCCAAACATGAAGCACTTGCTCTTCCAATACAGGTAAGAGTTTCGAGGCTGGTGTGTGAATTCTGAGAGAAGACAAGGTAGGTAAGAAGGAAGTGGAAATCGCTGCTTTCCTGAGATAGTTTAAGAAATACTGCGTGTGGACAGTATTCCTTAGAACCCTGATAATGAAGTGTGCCATGGGGCTGTGGAGAGACTAACGCTCCCCCTCTTACCTTAGAATTCACCCCCAGGCCAATAACTCAAAAAATGGCACAACTAAGAGCATTGGTGATAGAGTCTTGGGTCTGAACCTGAGAGATCCATGAAAGGGTACTTTGGCGATAGAGAAATGATGTTTATTTTAACAGTGTGAAGGGCAACAGGCATTAGCTGGGGAGAGGAGAGCAAAGGCAGCTTTGCAAGATTCTATAAAAAGTCTTGTTATGCTAGCAGGAATGCTTCATTTATCACACATCGGATATAACAATCAGGTATTTGAAGCATAAATTATTTCTCTCTATAAATGTGTGGGTTTATTTAGGTGTGTGCATGTATGTGTATATTCACATGCGTATATACACCTGTACACACACAGTAGGCTAATTCTACAAGGACCCAGTAATCCCTACTTCCTGGTTTTCTCATACTGTGTGTAACTAATCCCCTCCCCTTGCATGTGGGCTGGATTCATGAACTCATTTCTAATGAATACAATATGGAAGAGGGATGGGATATCACTCTTGAGAGTAGGTTACAGAAAACACTGTGGCTTCTGTCTTGGACACCTTTTCTCTTGTTCTCTGGTCCACTCTGAGCTAAACCAGTTACCATGTTGTGGGAGGCCCATATTGCAAGGTGTTGATGTGTCTGGCCCACAGCCAGAGAGGATCTGGAGCTTGACAATAGCCAGGTGAGTCAGTTTGGAAGCAGATCCTCCCAAGTGGAGCCTTGAGAAGACAATAGGCCTGGCCTGGATTGCAGCCTTTGGCAGACTCTGAGCCAGAGGTACTCAGCTGAGCCGAACCCGGATTCCAGAAATGGACAAAATAAAGTTTGTTGTCTTAAGCTGCTAAATTTTGAGGTAATTTGCTATGCAACAATAGATATCTAATTATACATATATGTATATTATTATGTATTATATAATAGACATGAGATGTATATGTGTGTACACACACGTATATTTAAATTAAAAATATACAAAAAACCAAAAAGGTGGTCCTCTGGTTAATTCCCATCCTTCTCAAAAGAATTCCTG